GGGTGGCGGGGGGGTGGAGTTGTTCTCATTGACTGTAGACATAATTATTTAAAGTAGATCTGTGATGTCATTGAACTTAATCAGTATTAGCAGAAAAATGAAATGTGAATATAGTTGGGTAGCATGAAGAAGATCAATACCAAGACACAATTGTTGTCTTTGGGTGCAATAAATAGATATATGGATGGAGTGCTCTTAATAATTATAAACAGTTGCACCAGAAGTAAGAATAAAATATGATCATTGTCTTTGGATAGTGACAGGTATATATAGATATAGGGAGCTACAGCTCGCGGTATACTGAGACCACCGCAGCCGGGACGGATCCCAACATTACTGTCCAGATCCACCCAGCTGCGTGAGTGACAGCTGGCACTGCCTATCTAGAGGCAGAGCCAGCTGTACCCGCCCCATCTGTTCCTCCAGCCAGAGCTGGAGGATCAGAGCGGGGGGGGATGCCTGCAGAGAGCCGTGAGTGACACTGCTCTCTGAAGGGAGATGATCGAGAAGTGAGCGACGGTATGTGTTCATTGTGTTCACTCACCTCATAGTTCTCCTTTAAGCATATGAATCATGATGACATAAAGTATAAGTAGAAATGTCCGTCGGTGAGATCCTTTTGTAAACACATTGAGTAGATTGTATCAAAGATAAAGACAGAAAAAACTATATGCAAATCATAAAGGAGAACTATGGGGTTAGGGCTTTTCCCCATAGTTCTCCTTAGGGTAACGGGAGGACACAAACTAGCGCCTTCCCGTTACCCTAAGCTCAGTATACCGCGAGCTACAGCTCGCGGTATACTGAGACGCCGCAGCTGAAATGGATCCCGACAATTATGTCTGGATCCGCCCAGCTGCGTGAGTGACAGCTGGCTCTGCCTATCAGTCAGCGCTGGAGGAGCGGGGAGGGGGGAATCCAGCCCCTCCCCTGTCACGGCTCTCTGCCGTGACAGGATCAAGAAGTGAGCGAACGCCGGTATGTGTTTGTTCACTTCCCGATCTACTGAGCCGACCTGTGACAGTCTCATTGTCACAGGTCGGCTAGAACTATGAGGATGAGTGAAAAGCACTCACCTCATAGTTCTCCTTTAGGTTTCCCTGTAGAAATCACACTTAGCCCCAGCACCTGTTCCACCTATTTGTCCACTCTATTTCTCAGTGAGGCCACCCATCACATTACAGGACCAATATGGAGGTTTGGAAGGACAGACTTGTCTAGATTTAACAGCTGGCAAGATTTTGTATAAATTCAGCTGTCTATATCTCTTGTCTGAATTTGGCACAGCATTTTCCTCTTATGTTTTTGTTTAACATATGTCCATTTTTCATTGCCCAAGTTGTCTCTGGTTTACTTTAATATGCTTATTATAATAATTTGGGATCGTGTTCACGCCATACATTGTTTTTCCTTAAAAAGGAATTTTAAATGTGTATAGAGATCTCTGTGCTCTATTTTAGGATGGCACCAATATCATTAACTGTTTACAAAAACTAATAGTAATAATTGTAATTGTTACAAGATGTGTTTAGTATGTGTCTTTATGTTTAGGAAATCCGGAACCGTCACTGGCTTCAAGTAATGTCAGTTACTGGAAGCTCTTTTCCCCTTGAAGCAAATGTCTTTAAAGTGTCCCATCTTCTGGATACCGGACTGTTGAAGTATGTTGAATGTTTTTACCTTAGTCAAAGCATACGTACGATTAAAAAAAAAAAAGAAATAGTTGTGGACTTCTTTGCTATAAACTTCTTTGCTACTTAGTAAACTGTTCAGTGTATGCTGTTCATTAAATATCATTACATCTTTGAACTTTAACATTAACAGCAACCCAGTTACAGCAACTCCGGTTTTAGAAAGTCTGGAACAAACTGATTGTTATCAGAGGGAAAAGATTAAAGTGGATCATCAGGCAAACATTACAAAATACCCTTATTAGTCTAGTTATGCATTCATTAGAACATTATTAAATCTATTTTTAATACATGTAGGATAATCTAAAAATTATCTTAACTTTTCATATTCTCACACATCAAAAAGACATTGAGACTGTTACTGACATCCTAACATTTTAAAGACCCTAAGGAATGAAGGAGTTCTAAGATAATTTTACCTTACCGACAGGCTTCTAAAATAGGCAGATATGATGGACATTACTTATGAATGTACCACTGATCAACATTTTCTCCTTTTGACATAGGTTTAAGGACCAGTTAATTTCCATAGCAAAAGCAGCAAAGAAGGAAATGGATCTGGAGATTAAAATGAGGAAGGTTGAGGAGGAATGGAGTGAGCAGGTACATTGTGAATGTGTCAGAAAAACAAAAGCCAAATCTCCATTGCTAACTATCTTGCTTCTCCAATACCACTACATTTTAAGCATAGGGCAGCAGATAAAAGCTGGCCACATTTAGTTTTTATTTCTTACTAGGCATTTTAAACACTTTAAAGTATGTTTATACTTGGTTATTTTTTTTTAGTTGCTCTAAAGACACCAAACTACAATTTATTTAATGTTCTGTGGTTTTCAACATAACATCTTGATGAAGACAATTTAGCTGACTTTTTGTTTTTCTATCAATGATAAAACGTTTTTTTTCTTCTCTTAAAAAATATATGACGCAGCACAGACTTTTTGTTATCAGATTAAGGTACAGTCAAACATGTTGGAACAGGATGATTACACATGTCTATGAAATCTGCAGACAACCCTAATGCTAACCTCATCATAGGGAAAGAATGGTGATCAGTCAGCACAATCTACTTCTTGCTAGGGGATGATTCAAGATTAACCACTGAGTAGGGATGGGCTCGTGGTTCCAGTCAAACAACAGTTCGACTCAAACAACAGCAGTTCGTGTGTTTGGTGAAGCCCTTGTGAAGCCCTGATTGGGTAAAGCAAAGCACCTAACCACAGGTCAGGTGCAAGACTTTACCCAATCACAGCACAGTGCACTGTGAGAGACACTATTGGGCAAAGTGATGATGACTTTGCCCAATCAGGGCTCACACAGCCAAGTCCTGTCAAGTGCCGGACAAATGTAAATTGTTAGGCAGAGCTAGCTAGCTGTCACTGCTAGCTCCGCCCAATAGTTTATATTTTGCCCACAGCTGTCAGAATGGCATTCTGCGGCGGGAGTTTGTCGCGAGTGGACGGGTCGGTGGGCATCGTGTTTTTTCTTTTTTATTATTTCTATTTCTTTTTTTAAAAATTCTATATTACGTCAATTCTCCGTCGTCATGGACAACGCTGGATGTCGTGATTGACCCTGGATTACATCGGTGGATCAATTATTTTTTTTAACAATAAAGGAATTGTCAAAAGCCTTTGTTGTGTTTTTATTTCAAAGTATTTTTTTCTAAAAGCCTGGACTTTTTATTTACATTTATTTTAACCCTTTACTGAATGAGTAGGGGTACAAGTACCCCTTACTCATTCACAAGGGGGTGCACATCTGAGTGACCCTTTATTAAAGGGGTACCCCGATGTGAATATGCCCCCCTGCCCGCACCCCCACAACCAATGCCCCAGGGCTTGTGGGAAAGAGGCCCTTGTCCCCATCGGCACAGGGACAAGGTGCTTTTCCAGGGACAACCCTGGAAAAGAACCTTGCCAGTGCAGAGGGCATGTGGCCTGGTATGGGGCGGTGCACTCGCTCGTCCCCCCCCCCCCCTTTTCTGCCCTGCCAGGCCTGTGCTCGGATCAAGGGTCTGGTTAGGAATTTTAGGGGGGACCCCATGGTTTTTCCCCCCATTTTGGGGGGTGGAGTTCCTCCTTATAATTCCTACTAGACCTTAAGGGCCTGGTAAGACTTTGAGGGGGTACCCCACACCTTTTTTTCCCCCTTTATTTAAATGGGGCCCCAACCTAACACTCCTACCAGACCTAAATGGTCTGGTCAGGTTCTATACATCGTAGAGATGCGCCACTTTACAGGCAGTTTAAGGGGACCCCCCATACATGATATTTAAAAGGATTTTTTCATTTTTATTGTTTCACGTTAAGCAATGTTAAAATCACTGCTCCTTTTAAAACTGTATTTTTTTAAAGTGTTTTTTTGTCGGGATGCACCGATATATCAACTGCCAAAACATATCGGCAGAAAATGTCACTTTTGGCTAAATGCCGAAAGTGCAATTTTCTGGCCGATATAGCGGTGCATCCATTGTTTCTCTCCTCCCCGCTGGGAGCTGCTCTGTGTACCAGCGGGGAGGAGAGAAACTGTTACAGGAGGCTGAGCGCTGTGAGCGGCTAGCGTCTCTATTCCCTGCACCGCTCAGCCTCGTGTCACAGATCGGGAGAGCGGTGTAGGCGGAGACAGCTTGCAGTGCTGTCACAGGAGGCTGAGCTCCACTCGCTCAGCCTCCTGTGACAGCATGTCAGGAAGGAGAGCGAGCGAGGTACAAAGACTCAGCGATCAGTGATCGCTGAGTGTTTGTAAATAATTGAGGACTGAGTATGTTTACTATATCCTCAATTACGAATGAATGGGAAGTGATCTACATCACCTCCTGTTCATTCAAGATTGGGGTTATAGTAAACATTCTCTGTCCTCAAGTTATGATTGAACAAGAACACTCTGTATAGAGGATTCCTTTTCATTTAAAACAGGGGCTGCAGAAAAAGAGATTGAGGACACAGAGTCCCCCGCCTCTTTTTCCATTTTAAATGGGAAATATCAGGGGTCTAGACCCCCGATATTTCCCCGAGGCCCCTAAAAGTAAAGTAAAAAATATTTAATAAAAATTAATAAATAAAATATAAAAAAAATGTCACAGGAGGCTGAGCTCTCCTCCCGCCCTGCCCAGCCTCCTGTGACAACTGTCAGGATGGAGAGCGGGTACAAGCAGTCAGTGATCGCTGAGTGTTTGTAAATAATTGAGGACAGAGTATGGTTACTATATCCTCAATTATGAATGAATGGGAATGATCTACATTACCTCCTGTTCATTCATGATTGTGATTATAGCAAACATACCATGTCCTCATTTTAATGAATGAACAGGAACACTCAGTATAGAGGATTCCCATTTATTTATAACAGGCGCTGCAGAAAAAGATTTATTAATTTAATACAAATTAATAAATAAAATATAAAAAAATAAAAAGTTGATAAAAAAGAAATAAAATATTAAATTTTTTTGAAAAAGTTAGAATAAAAAACATTTTCGGTTTCGGCCTGACATATTTTTATTTATGTCGGTTTTGAAATTCTCATTTCGGTGCACCTCTAGTTTTTTGCATTGATACATGTCCCCTAGGGCAGTACCCAAATCCCCATACCCTTTTTAGAGCCAATAACTTGCATATAAGCATTAAAAAAGGGGATATTTGATTTTCAGAGTTCTACTCTCAATAGACTTTGATTGAGCTCCAAGTTCGAGTTCAAACTTTTTCCATGTTCTAAAGCTTGAACTCGAACTGAACTCAGGTGTGTTCGGCCCATCACTACTACTGAGGTGGCTCTGTTCCCATAAGAATCCCATATGTTGGTCTGTGATTTTGAAATAAGCATTTTAGGCTACAATATTTTGTCTTTGACTAGCTTCAAAATTATAGATAGATAGGTTCCTTTTTGGAAAGATCAGTGTTATTGAAATCTATTCCAGTCTGTTTGTATAGCCTTGCCTCTTAATTGTTTCACATTATGATGTGCCTACTTGATACGGTGCTGCCCTCCATAGTGCTACCTTCTAGATAGCTCCAATATATAGGTCCCTGCAGTCTTCAGAAGCAACATTGTGCTTATTGTGTATTTCATGCACACAGGTGCTGAGCTTCAAGCCCTACAAAAACAAAGTAGTGTTGGTGAAGGAAGACTCCATGCTGCTATTGGAAGAACTGGAGGATGCTCAAGTACTTCTTGCACAGATGCTGACTTCAAAGGAAATTGATCCACTAAGAGAGGAGGCGACAACTTGGGCAGAGAAGCTGAAAAATGTTGGTGAGGTGTTAGAGCTGTGGATAGAAGTACAAGAGCTTTGGCAACACCTAGAAGAAATATACAATAATCCTACTATAATCCAGGTAAATTAAGTCGTTAGCATGTTTTAAGTAAAATCAGGTCTTCTAGATTTTAGAGGTAATAGATCAATTGTTGTTGCAAAGGTTGGTTCCCACTATCATAGCACATGTTTTGTATAGCATCACAGGACTTTATAATAATAAAGAGAAAAGCCTTCATTTCTGCAGTAGAACAGTTTAGTTATAAACACATCCCAGTCTAAATACTACAGTTCCATGACAACCATTAAGTTTAATTGTTGTTGTTTACCAGATAATGTAAGCATCAGTGGGAGAGGATTTCACACCTTACTAGATAGCTATAGGAGGTGAGGACCCAGCCATGTTACTCAATGTGGGGATCTTGATTACATTTTCTCTAAGAAATGCTACATATTGGGGATGAGCAATTCAAGCTAGAAAAAGGAAACTGAGCACAAAGGTGGAGCTGTTGGCAACAGGCCCGGCGCTACCGCAAGGCAAGTCAGGCGGCCGCCTGAGGGCGTTGCAGGGTGAGGGCGGAAAAAAAATGCACCTTGCCCTGTGTAGGCAAGAATCCTAGCACCGGCCCTGGTTGGCAATAAGAAGCAACCAACCAATCAACTAATCAAGTTTCACCTTTCATTGTATGTACTGATTGCATTGTACAGTGGCTCATTTTCTGTCTTTTAATAATTCTCATTTATGCTTCTGGTATGAGTGTGCTATGTTCCTTCAGAAAATCAATGCACTGTCATCTAACTGCACACTGACCCTGCTGTAATACACCACAAGCGAGTTCCGGCAAGCACTTGCAGAGTCCTGTGGAACTGGAGTGAATCTCATAAAACTTTGGTCCAAGAATAGTCACTTGTGGGTTAAGGTTGATGTTTGAGATTTTATCTTTAGGTTCAGCAGATTTTTAACAGATGGTTTTAATAATACAGCAGATAAAGCTCATATCATTATCTAATGTGTAGTGGCTTTTAGTGTTACCTGACTTTTTTCATTTTTATTTTTTCACTCATCAGGAGCTACCTCAGGATGCAAGAAGATTTGCTAAAGTCAACAGACGATGGAGTCTGATGATGATCTCTGCATACAAAACAAAAAATGTTTTGCAGGTAAACAATTCTATGATAGGAAATTTAAACAGATAATGCACTTATTTGCTTGATGCAATGTTATGCCTGAAATCTATTGCATTCATTTTAAAGCTGCGCTGCAGGAAAACAGCTTAAAGGAGAACTATGGGGTTAGGGCTTTTCCCCATAGTTCTCCTTAGGGTAACGGGAGGACACAAACTAGCGTCCTCCCGTCACCCTAAGCTCAGTATACCGTAAGCTACAGCTCGCGGTATACTGAGACGCCGCAGCTGAAGCGGATCCCGACAGTTATGTCTGGATCCGCCCAGCTGCGTGAGTGACAACTGGCTCTGCCTATCTAGAGGCAGAGCCAGCTGTACCCGCCCCCTCCCCCGTCCGTTCCGCCAGTCAGCGCTGGGGGATTGGAGCGGGGAGGGGGGAATCCAGCCACTCCCCTGTCACGGCAGAGAGCTGTGACAGGATCGAGCAGTGAGTGAACGCCGGTATGTGTTCGCTCACTTCCCGATCTACTAAGCCGACCTGTGACAGTCTCATTGTCACAGGTCGGCTATCACTATGAGGTGAGTGAAAAGCACTCACCTCATAGTTCTCCTTTAACACGAAGATAAAAATACATATAAGGAATACATATATATCTGCCACTAAATTGATATTTCCGTCCATCCAGTTCTAAGATTTACACAGCTATTTCCGACAGCCCCATCTGACAGGGCAGGAGACCTGACTTTTCTTGCTGCAGTAAGTAATACAACTGGGTCTTGCCCACAAAATGTTATTGGACAGTAAAGGAAAAGCAGCACACTGATAAGCTCATTTCTCACTCTGTAACTCTTTAAGAGGTTACATTTACTCTAGTTTTAGGCAAGCCCCCAAATATCAGCATGTAATAGCAGGAATGTGTACCAACACAACCAATATTGGCCAATTTGTATGAACACTCTCTTGAAATGTTGGTTTGGAAAGGCAACAATTTATCAGTATAACTAAATGCAAAAATGGCATGTTGCATGGCTGACTGATAATGTATTTTTTCATGACAGATAGTTCTTCAAAGGACATCTAGATCTAAGAACAAACATTTAATATATTGCAGCTAATCAGTCCTTAGATTTAGTGGCCAAATGTTTTCAGGCTTAGAACATTTTCTGGAGTACAGCAAATACCTGCTGATCTTGCCAGAAATGCAGTTCATGTGAGTTGAACTGAAATTGAAATGTTATTCTCAGGATAGGAAATGTGTTATTTACCAGATGAAAGTAAAGGAAAAAAGTAACTAATGTAGCCACCACATCTAATGTCTGGCAAGAAGCAATAAAATATGAATTATTTAACAATATATAATGCAATGGTTTTACCTGCAGGAACTAATTTGATGTAAACTTTTTATTTTTAACATAGTGCTGCTGCACCGGTGATGTCCCTAAAGAAGTTCTTCTTAGACATTTCTACCAGGAGCTAGAGATCTGTTTCTCCTCTCTCAATTCTTACCTTGGCAGGATGAGACAAGCTTTCTCTCGCTTCTACTTCCTGTCAGATTTGGCACTAGTGTCTGTGCTCAGCCGCCCTTGTGATATTAAATATCTTCAGCATCATTTGAGGTACCATATGTCTTGATGGAAAAAACAAATGTGTGTTGTTTCTCTAAAGCAAAAGCAATATGTACACATTATAATGATATCTTGTGTCATCCTCTTGAAAAACATTTTTAACGCTTTCCTTGCTTTTCATAAGTATTTAGAGTAGTATTAAGGTCGGGGCATTCTCTGCCATCGGCTCCAGTCCCCCCCCACATTTACCTGTCAGCTACGCTCGTCCCCACCGCCGGTTCCGAATCGATCTGTCGTTCCCCGAACTTCCAGGTTGCGGGGAGAGGATATCGATGGCAGAAGAGCCATAGGCTCCTCTGCCATTCAATCAAAGAGAGAAGGGGCATGGCCTGCCGCAGGGCTGAGTGTGTGTATGGACGCACACAGCCACTGCGGGCACGAGCTCGCACAGGTGGCACCCGTACAGGGGGGCGGGGGGAAGATTGCAGCGGGGACCCACTAGAAAACATGGAATTAAAAACTTTTAAGGAAAAACAGAAACAGCCTCCAGCAAAGGTGGGTCTCCTTGTAGGAAATATTTTTTTTAAATGAGGCTTTAACCACTAATATATATAAATTAAAACAAAAATAACATAAAAAAAAGTAAATTAAAATAAAAGTCACATATAAAAAAAGTGAAAAAAAACCCCAAAATGTTTAACTCCCCCACCCCCACGTTTACGCACCTATAAACGTAAATAATATTTCCACTTTTGCAGTCACATTTGAGAAAACTCCACCATATGTCTGTTATGTGTTCCCATTTACACAGCATATCTAAAATATATATTTTTAAATATGTCTTACCTTTTTAGCTGTTTCTTTGAAGCAGGATTATACATAGTGTACTTTAGGCAGCTTCTACTGCCTTGAATAGATGGCACTGTGCAGATAAGGGGACAGACTGAGTGACATTAAAAAAAAAAAAGTACATTAACATAAAATGCCTGAAGATCATTAACTCTTTGTTAAAGCCACACCCTGGGGGAAAATGATAATTTACACATTGCACTGGGTGTGTACATTATCTGGGTGTTATGTACAGAGGACAGCTGCAAAGTATAAAAATCTTGCCTTGCAGCACATCGTCCCCTACACACAGGCAGTGAATAGAGGGAGAGGTGTGACCCAGCTATACAGCACTCTGGTCGTGTCAGCTCCATCTCTTTTCACTATCCTTTATTTAGAAAATGCCTTCTGTTTTGTTATAAAGTGCAAAACATTCTGTGATTGGAAGAGGAGAGGAGGGGGCGGGGATGTGACTATATCATTTGCACATGGTTTCTGCTGGACATAGAAAATAACAAAACTGGTGACCATCAGGAATAGAAACCTGAACAGATAGCTGTATGTGTCATAATTTTATTTTTAGAAGTACAAGGTGATGAGGAAATACTACAATTCCAGCAGTGATGACAATATTAAACATGATTTCCAAGGGTTTTCAGGTCTGATCAGGGAGCACTAGAAGTCTCAGCAGCAATGTCAATAATTCAAGTAATGGCTGTTATCATAGTGAAGGAAAGGAAGAGCTAATAATCTTGTAGTGAATCAACCGTACCACAGTGCAGTACCATCTACTGGTTTTACACTGAGTAAGCTCAGGCTCTTCTTTTGAGCACCTCTAGAAAAGGGACAACTGCTGACATTTGTACTATATAAAGACCCAGCAAAGATATTTGATTTTTTTTACAAAAACTACCATATGTCCTAGATTCATATACAGTATGCATATATTCAAGCACTGTTATAATTTCTTGTGTCACTCTTACCATAAAGCCAAAGTCTGAAAAGCAAGTGTCTGAATCATCTGTGGTACATAAATGTACCATTTATTACTTCAATCATACTTAAAGAGTATGATTCAGAGCCACTGAAGAAGTATTCCGACACAGCATTATGTAGTCTGTGCAAATCAATATCCCACTGCACCCATCATGGTTGTGCATATAAAAAAGTACAAGGAAGGTTATCTAGCATAAGCCTGGCATGTAAAAAATCACCACTACTCTCATGATCCTCAGGTTTTTATAAAATATGCATGTTATCATGGAGATTGCACTATGCTTTGCATTGTAAACCTAGCACAGGTCAGACCTGCAAAGGGGTAAAACTGCATCCTCAAAGTGCCATACACGATGACCTCAGACTCTGTTGCAGTGTTATAATATTCATCTCCCTGGCAAAAATATCAGCCAGAGAAGTAAATGTCTATATTCTCTGTTGTACATGACTCCTGTGCTCCTTGGTTGTCATTCCTTCATAGAGGGAAATGTAGGAAAGTTGTATTCTGGCAATGTGTAATCGGTACAAATAACCCAAAACTCTTCTGGGGGTTTAGTTGGTTAGACTCCACCAAGCAGGGAGTGCAGAGATCTAAGTAGGTGGGACAAAGAAGGTTCTTAGTACTTTCACTTGTGTTCCTATTAGGATAAATGGGAAGCTCATTAGTTTGCAGTGATTAACACAAGTCTGGTAAACAAATGTTTTATATTAAATAAAGGATGTTGTGTAGAAGTCAATGAATCCAAAAGGGTATAAAAAGGTCAAATCTTGTTAGCTCTTGACTCTGTGTAATCCAAAGTACTTATAGAATTAACTGAGGAATGTCTGTCAATCAGTCTCATCATGAGGATTTACTTTGTTATCCTATTAATCATCTAAATCATTCCTGTCCAACTGGTGGCCCATTGTCCAGGTAGCATTTTTAAGGCCTCAACTGTCTTCCAGTTTTGTTACTTATGTAATTCTATTTACAAATCATTTTATCATCTATCTATCTATTCTATCTATGTATCTATCTATCTATCTATCTATCTGTCTGTCTGTCTGTCTGTCTGTCTGTCTGTCTGTCTGTCTGTCTGTCTGTCTGTCTGTCTATCTATCTATCTATCTATCTATCTATCTATCTATCTATCTATCTATCTATCTATCTATCTGTCTGTCTGTCTGTCTGTCTGTCTGTCTATCTATCTATCTATCTATCTATCTATCTATCTATCTATCTATCTATCTATCGATCTCTCTAATTCTTAAATTGGAATCATATATGGTATCTGAAAGCTGCCTAGAGTCTTTTAGAAAGTGAAATACTTTTCACAGCGTAAAGCAATGTGCATGAAAAACATGTATATCACAGTGAACAGTATATTGGTATGTAGCATTTAATAGGGCTGACATGGATTTGTGGCATTATATTATTTTTATATTAAACACAATTTATTTTCTGTGTTTTGTTTATTAATAAATAATTGTACAGGTCATTGTTTGGTGGCATTGCCTCTATAGAGGTGGAGGAAGTTGAGGAAGAAGAAAGTGTGAGCTCTGAGGAAGAGGCAGCTGAGGAGCCAGGTCCCATTCTTGACTTCCTTAGTGTGAGATCTGGAAATGAAGGATGGTTGTCTTTGGGACAGCGAAGTACAACACATGTCACTGATACTGAAAGTTTTTTTCAAAGATCTCTAAAATCTGTAAGTACTTTCTATAGGATGTGCAGACACTTCTAGGAATCCATCTGAGCCAGAACACAGAAACAAAGGGTGATGTTTAAATACAAATATGTGAAAATATAAAAGCTTAGTGTGTAATAATATATTACGGTAAAAAAAAAATACATATGCATAAAGTCGTCATTGCTTGCCTGGGTTGATTAGCCAACACTGGCTATATAAAGGTATTTAAATGTTATTAATGGAATGATGTGTGCAAGTGAATTAATTCAGTAAGCACCTCATTCAATTAGAATTATTAATAGCCAATATAAATATTTACTATATGTTTATTTATATAACAATACATTTAAATGTATTGTTATATATAAAAAATATTTATATAGCAGTTGTATTTTGTGATATTATAAGATTATGATTTTATTTTAATTATAATGTATTGCACAGGCATATTTGTTTTGTATAGTGCTGCATGTGTATTTATATTGGCTCTGTTGGTGAATTGAATTCATTTTGGTTCTTGAGCTTTTAGTTTGGTAATGTATTACTATTATTATTATATTATTATTATTATTACAGTAAACTCCCACTTATCCGGTACCCATGGGGATTAATAGATGCCAGATAACTGTAGTTTCTGGTTGCTTGAGTGCTGGATAATGGGGGGTTTACTGTATTTCTGCAATAGTGAGGGACATTTGTGTGTATATCATTTTCTCTGTAAGCTTACACATACTAGAATTTTTTCATTTCTATAAATGTTTCCCTCAGGCAGGTTTATCTCATGAAAGGAATCAACCAGTTATGTATAAGGAGCTAAGTAAGAAAATAAATGCAGTTTCAGTCACAGGACAAGCTGGTGAATGTCTACAACTGGATGAACAGGTAACCGTGACATATCTATCACAGGTCATTTATACTAGTGTGTTGTAACCCTGAAACCAGTTTTTCTGCATTTTTCATGAATGATCTGTTGTGTGCATGCTAAAAATTGCTAAAGTCTTCTTACTATTTGTCGAACAATTGTGTTAAATGAATATGTTCATGATGGCTTCTTTTCCCTTTTGAATCTGTAGGTTCCCATTGCCTCTAGTTTAGGAGCTTGGCTCAGTAAACTTCACAGTAATGTGCGTACTTCACTGAACAACAGAATCTTCAAAGTAATTGAAGACATTAATCAAGGAGTGGCTATAGATGAATGGGCACAGAAGGTACTAGAGATGAATGATTCATGCCATGTAGAGCCTGATAATATTAAACACACCTGTAATTAGAAACCAGGACCGTACGGCAGGGTGTTTTATTCTATGAACCAGGTGGGAATTGTGAACTCTGATTGGCCCCTCAGTGATCTTCTTGCAGGATAAGATGAGCTTATTTACCTCATCTAATGACAGCAGTTTAGTAAGACAATCTATGCAAGTACCATTATAATTTTTATAGCTGACATTTAATCATGTAACTCTTACTTTCATGAAAAAGTGCTGCAATCTATTGAGTCCACACATTCAAAGAGAGAAAAATTAATTTTAAAAAATCTAAACACATATTTTTTTTAATGTGCGGTTATGGATGAGCTGTTTAGAGCTCTAAATATACCCTTGTAACAATTTTGACAGCTTCTGAAGTGAAGCTGGAAAGGCTACTTATATGCATAACAGCAAAATCTCCTAAAGAATAATCTGTTTTAAGACCATTGACTCATGCCCTACTACACCCCTACTACTGACAGCCATAACATGTTTATGTGGAGGAGTAGTCAAATGCATATTTTAAATTCTTCTAGGTCAGTAACACATAAACCATTATTTTATTTTTCATTAAAAGTTACATAGTTTTCTTTTCAGATTACTTTATGTTTATTATTACTTTATGTTTATGTGAAGTGTTTATGTGAAGTGTAGATGCAAATAGTACTTCTTTATTAAGCGACTCCTCCATGGGGAATTGCAGAAAACTTTATAGATGTAGAAGTGTTCCCTTATTACCCCATGGCAGAGTCTCTTAATAAAGAAGTACTATTTGCTTCTACACTTCACATAAATATAAAGCAATCATAAAATAGAGCTGAGATACATACACATTAAATAGTGCATTAAATGAAATAAAGTTCTTTAGTAGAACCTCTGGCAATTACCCTAAATTGGATTACTTTACTGCATTATAATATGGAAACACTCGGCATGGTGGATCCACTCTTGACTTGCATCACTGGTCCTAGGTTTGAGGAGCATCAAGAACCTGGAATTTGCCTTTTGCCCCATGTTTGAATAGGTTGTCTTTGGGTGGTACGGCTTCTTTCCAGAATGTAAAAATGTATTCCTAGATTCATGGGTTTCATCACAAATTAACCACTGGTTTTCTCTTGCAATTAAAACTTTCCCTACTGTGTCCACATGTGCATTATCATAGCAGGGTCATTAGACTATAAGCTTCTTCAAAGGCATGGACTGATAATGGTTAAATGTAGAGATTTCCAGAAAAATATGTCAGTGCTATATAAATTAGTAACATGAATAAACTAAAAAAAACTTTTTACATGTAGATTTAAAAAAAAGTTAGTAATAATGAATATAAAATAATAAATTGACAACCAAAATGTACACAGTTGAAATAATACTATGCTTGAGAACATAATGTGCCACCTTACCAGTAGGGATATCATCTTGACAATATTATGCTTTTTTTTTCCAGTATCCTACTCAAGTGGTAGTACTTGGTCTGCTTTACCTGTGGACCAGAGACTTTGAAACATCTGTCTCTGAGTTTAGACAAGATCGGAAGGCACAATCTCGACTCTTTAAAAAATATTCCACATTGGCACTGAAGCTTTCCACTATCGCTTCAAGAGGGCACTGGAAGAATATGGAAGAGCCAGTATCCCAAGCTCAGAGGCTGAAGCTGGAAAATATAATCATGGTATATTAAAACATTAATGAGTTGTTGTTATTATTATTATTATTATTGATTTATATAGCACCAACAGTGCGCAGCACTTTACAAAATAGAAGGAGACAGTACAGTTACAATACAGTTCAATACAGGAGGGTTAGGAGGGCCATACACGTGAGAGTTCACAATTTAATAGGAGGGGCAAGTGATGCAAAAGGTAATCATTGTGTGGGATGAGTTAATGGAAGAAGTAAAAGGACACTTATTATGCTGAGCTGTGATAGGCGTCCCTTAAGAGATGAGTTTTCAAGGATCGCCTAAAGGTGGACAGAGTTAGTGTTTAAATCCCTGAAGTGATGCAAAAGGTAATAATTGTGTGGGATTGTTAGGGTTGTGGTGTGGGCCCGAATTGACGAGGAGGACCTCCCTTGCAACCCCGTCTGACGACCACTGGGGTTGAAGACAGTGTGCTCAGCAGGGGGTGCACGGGTGTCGGGTGCAGAGTAGTCGACCGTGCTTGATCGCGCTTTAATCCAATCGGGAAGTCAGGAGACAGGCCGGGTCAATAACAGGCGGGCAATCGAAGTACAAAGGGTTAATCCAAAAGGAGCGTCAAGAAGCAAGCCGTGTCGATAACAAGTTGGCAGCAAGGTACAGAGGCTAATCCAATGGGAACGTCAGGGAGGAAAGCCAGTTCAACAAGTTCAGGAGACAGGAGCAAGGTAATGACATCCAACACTGGCTGAAGATCACTCAGCACTGAATGAGCGTCCTGTGGTGCTTTATATAGGCCGGGGACCCGTTCCTGCGCATGCGCCGGCCCGTATCAGCGCGATGATGTCACGCCGCGCGGGGCGGATCCCGCCGGGCCTTCTGGCGTCTGCGTCTGCGCAGCCTTGTTGTGCCGGCGGACGCCCTCTCCGTGTGCGTCCCCGCACAGGAGCTTGGACCGGGACTCGGCATGTCCCATGGACCGGGACCCGACATGGCCCACGGACCGGGACCCGACAGGGATGAGTTAATGGAAGAAGTAAAAGGACAGTTATTATGCTGAGCTGGGATAGGCTTCCCTTAAGAGATGAGTTTCCAAGGATCGCCTAAAGGTGGACAGAGTTAGTGTTTAAACCCCTAAAGTACTTGACCATCTGAAAAGCAGAGGTAGGAGAGGAGCTCTTTTAGCCAGAGGTTAGCACAAAGGTTATATGTAGATAGCCAACATATGCCTTTTGAGTGAGCAATGCTGTTTACAAAATGCTTGTGCAACATACAATTAATAGGAGGAATATACGCATAACATGATTATCCAAGGAAAAGTGGCAAACTTTCATGAAGGTCATGCTGTCATGTTTTTCAGCATATCAAGAGCCAACATCTCTTTATGCAACCCTTGTTTTATTAATGGTCCTCCCCATTAAAGCCCAACTCCAGCACCCAATGATAAATTTGTTTGCACTTGTGTCCTCATTGGCAAAGGTATTGATGGTAAATCCCTCCAATGGGGACAATGCAACAAAACACTATTTCTTTATACAATGTGGAAGGGTTGTAGTCTTTTATCAGGTTATTTTTACAACTGCCCATGTCTTTCTGTCCCAGTGAGAACTGCTCCTCTGAATTCTTGTTGTGTAGTCACAGAGACAGGAAGTGAGGTCTATCCTCCCCAATGCTTCTATTGACAAGATATTTATTTATAAACATTGAGCTACGTGTTGTGAAAAGATGCCCCTACGAACATATTCATCAACACACATAAGGGTACATAATGATTTTGTCGGCAGAGGGGAAGTAAAATAAAAGTTTCCGCATAGTTTAGTGAATGAGATGAATTTTGCTTGCACATGATTGGGTATTCTTTGCAATGAAATTTCTCCATATTCACCAAGGTAAGGGAAACTTCCCTTGCAAAGTGCAAATTCCCTTGAAAGTGAACTGCCTATTTGACTTTAGTAAATTAACCCAATGGCTTTAACACCATGATGGTGTGCCATATATCTTTATATTTTCTTTAGGAATCTAAAATAGTTTTTAAATCTGCCAAACAAATCTCATTATGTTATGACAGATGCTGATTTTGTTGACATCTTTTACTATCCTTTCTGTTAGTAAATTCTTCCCAAAAAAAAAAGCATGATTAATGTGAACCATCTGTTCAAAATGGTGCCACATCTCTCTGAAATATCATATGTGAATTTTCACTCGGCGCTGCTGCTTTTCACACTAGTTTCTCTTGTCAGTACATCTACCACATTTCCAGTAAACTGACCAGATGCTTACAAAAATGATGGCTGGGACAAGATCTAAACATGTTAGTTAAGGTTGTGGCATTCTGATTCTGTCCTTATGCTTTCAAGAGATCTTACTATTTTCTGTGTAGTACAGGGAAAGATTTTTTCAGCAGGTTGGAAAACCTATAAGTGCAGTAATAAGCACTTCATGTGCTTATGCATCTCAGTAGGTAATGGCCCAACTGTCTTTTGCTGTGCTTGGCATTGTTGTTTTACTAGCATATATTAAGGTGTGTACATCTTTGCTGAGACTGGCCAGAGATCTTATCCAATGCTAAGAGATGCACGCAGGGTTCAGCTACAAGTACCTGTGGTAGGATCCCAAATGCCATTCGGGTCTAGGAGATTCAGCTTTAGTATTAAAGGAGAACTATGTGGTGAGTGATTTTCACTCACCTCATAGTTCCAGCCGACCTGTGACAATGAAACTGTCACAGGTCGGCTCAGTAGATCGGGAAGTGAGCGAACACATATCGGCGTTCGCTCACTTCTCGATCCTGTCACTGCAGAGAGCCGTGACAGGGGAGTGACTGGATTCCCCCCTACCCTGTCCGATCCTCCAATGCTGACTGGCGGAACGGACGGGGGAGGGGGCGGGGACAGCTGGCTCTGCCTCTAGTTGAGGTCTACCTGTGATGCCAATTACAGGCCTCTCTCATCTTTTTAAGTGGGGGAACTTGCACAATTGGTGGCTGACTAAATACTTTTTTGCCCCACTGTATGAAAATAAAAGCATTGCACAACTATGGGAGTATGTTATGTTTACTGTTTAGTTGGAAGATTAGGAGTCATTTTGGAGCAAGGGTGAAAGGGTGGGTGAAGGACACGACCATTGGGGGAAGTAAAGGGAAAGTGCATGTTGTCTGGCGCAGGAGGGGAAACAACCTCAAATCGAAGGGTCACAGCATTGGAGAGCTAGAAGATGTAAAAAGATCATAACTATCCCAAAAGTGTGTCGCAAAGAATTAACCACATGTTTAATCGTATAAAGTGCTTAGGATCAACAGGTTTGTTTTCTTGCACAAAAGACATAACAAAACATTTTCAACTGTATATTTAACAGACCATAATGGACTACTTCATAGAAGTTCATTGTTAGAGTTTACACACACTTTATCTACACCACTGTTTGCACGTATTCAAAATCTATGTATGTAACAATGGTCACATCTGGCTGGACTGCGCCATTTCATTTATTTTTTCTTCTCTAGCAAGTACTGTATCTCCGTGATGTCATGGATACGTTTTTTTCACACAAAGTCCGAGAAGTTGTCGATTTTGATTTCAGAAAAGCTACTCGTTTTTATCTTAAAGACAACAGTAAGTAGCTCTGTACATAAATAATCCTTTATAAAGTAAATTGTTAGAATATTGCACAAACAATGTACATAAAAAGGGAATGAAATGTTGTGCTATGAAAAGTATTGCTATGGAGGGTGACTTTAGGTAAAGTCTAAAAGCAGTGGACATAGGATTATTGTGTTTTGGTGCAGATAATTTGGCACATAAATTATCAGTTAAATAGGTACGGTGACTTTTCAGTTTTTGGAACTTACTAGGTTAAGGGTTAGGTGTTAGGTTTAGGGTCAGAGCTGGGGCATAGCTATAATTTAAAGGGTTCTTCTAGGAAAATGTTGATGCCGGCCCTCATCCCTGCTACGAGTGAAGCAATATTCAGGAGGTCAACTTGCATAAGTGGGCATAAGTACATTTTCTTATTTATGGCTATGCAGCTTAAGTTTAACAGACATATCATGCCCTGTGTTAAATTGTTTTTAATTACTTAGTTGGGTGAATAGCAAAAATCAGCAGGAGACATCCTTTATGGAGTTATCACTACTACTTTGCAGTGAACTATCATTGCAGAACATTCAGAGAGGCATTATGTGGGCAGCCAGGCAACAAGGGAGTAAGATCCTCACCTTATCGAATTGCTAAAATGCTACAGAAGTGTGATAAGTATATGAAGGATGCCTCTATATATTCACCAGCAACAAGTGCAAACAATAGTGAGGTGGATAGACCCAAAATCCTAATTTTCCCCCTTACACCCAATGTCTTCCTTGTGGGCTGCTGTGGCTGATAGACCAAATGGGTCAAAGGTTATGGGATGATGTTTAATGGTAGGGGGAGGAATAGGTTAGGTGTTAGCCTTAGTTTGCCTCTTAACGGCTCATTTTCTGAGATAGGTTAGGTGTCAGGGGTTCATTTTAGGGGTTGGGTTAAGAATTATGTTTTTGGATTAGGTTAACTGTCTAGGTTAGGATTTAACTGTTAGAACCCTTTCACCCGTCTGTGTTTGGTGTGTTTTTGGTGCAGTACATCAAAAAAACTTTGCTGCATCTTTGGTGTACCTTTTATCAATTGATAGGGCTAAAATTAATAAATGGGAAAAAACACATAAAATGGGTCTAAAACCGAGAGGTTTGAATGTAGATTTAGGGGGCAGGTTAAGGGTAAACCATTCATTTTAAGGTGTAAAGAAAGTGTAAGGTTAGAGTAATGGAGATGTTAAGTGTAAGTGTCCCAATCGGTGCTAGGGGTAGGTGATAGTTCGTGAAATTTAGATTTTGGACACCCAAATGCCCCAGACCTAAATATTTTGAACCACGTTCCTGTGTTGGTGTATATCTGGCAATTCCATTAGCAAAACATTGTTGTTAAAACATGTATTTTAAAATAATAACAATGTTTCAATTACAGATGGTTCACTAAGGCATGAGCTGAAAATACTGGATGCTCAGTATGTTTATGGCTGTGAATTTTATGGAGCAACAACCCCTTTTATTATGAATCCTGTAACAGAGAAATGTTTCCTTAAAATATCCCAGGTAAATGCTATAGTTGCTTTGACAAGCTCTTACAGTATGTGCATCAATACTTTGACCACACTTCATTCTAGGGGCTTTTACCTTTGGCTTGCTGAGTAGGATATATATTAATAATGAGGCCAAATATGTCTTTCTAATTTGCATCTTTTATGTCACCTTTATGTGTTTCTTTTATATCCTTTGTTTGTCTCCTCTTTTACCTATTCTAAATTCTCTTGTAGTATGCTAAAAATATATACCGTATATCTATCCATAATGAAATGTTCTTATTTTTTCATATATAAAACACTGATCAATATGTTACAAGCGTTTCGTCCTGGCTGTTACATATATCAGAATTAAAATGATCATGATGATGAAATAAATATGTAAATGTTTATATATCTTACTTGTTTATATATCTTACTTGAAATATCTTATAATGTTATTTATTATATTAGTCCATATTTAGATTAAGGAAAAATAGCACAATTCTATATATGCAAAAAGAAGATTGTACATTTTTTCATTCGTGTTTTTATAATTTTTTTTTTAGACTACAGTACAGTAGTCTGACCAACTTGAAAAATTTAATTCTACAATATTTTCAAACAAATAGCTGGAAATGGAAGTTTCCGCCTCTATTAATTCACACAATAACAATATTTTTACACATGCGTTGCAATAACAAATATTAGCAGAACATTCTGACATTTTGGCTGCTTTGTTCCTTTAATTGATATGTAAATTAATGCAGTGGAAAAGTGCCCCAAGTTAAGTCATGTATAAAGCATGTTCTGAAAGGACATTGATAAATGATCCCTATTGTCAGCTAGCTTGTAGCTGCGTAGTGAGAAAACACTACATTTTGGTTTTTTTTATCCTGAAGATACATACATGACAGCAGGGGGCTTAGCTATATTTTAAATGTAATTTATTTAACAAGTGAAATGGTAATTGTTCAAACTGATTCTTTTATCATAGACAGTTTACCAATGTAATATTTATTACAGGCCATATATCTGATGAATGCACAAAGAAGGATTTTCTATGTTTCATCGTATATTCCCATTAAACAGTATAGAATATTTACTTATTTAGGATCATAATTCACAGAGAACTGGTGTGTAACAAAGCCAAAACCACCAACCACGATTCACCTATTAGTAGCTTAATGGTTGCTATGAATTACATTCTCAAACATTTCATCCCCACACAGCTACCTCCTCATGTATCACTTCTCCCTCCCTTTTTAGATTGTAAGCCATCAGGGGCAGGGCCCTCCTTACCATCTTGTCTTGAATTGTATTGTGAGTTTAATGCGCGCAAACTGTTGGCGCTATATAAATCCTGTATTATTATAATAATTACTCTTTCTTCTTTGCTGCTATATATAATTAGGGATGCACCAATACCATTTTTTCCAGACTGAGTACCGATACTTTTCCTCAAGTACTCACCAATACCAATTATGATTCCTTTATTATAGTGTCTTGTGACAGCTTTTCTAAACCAATACAGACTAAAGATTTTAGGACAGTGGTGGAGTGCCAGGGCTCGGTCGCAGCTGTGACCCTGGTAGTTCTGCCACTGACTCCAAGCTTTAGAGGGACTACAAATATCAGCAATACATTATACAGCAAAGCAGAATAATATCATCAGCTGTAGAGGACTAATGGAGGACTATAAATCCCAGCAATAAATTATGCAGCAATGCAGAATACCACAAGCTTTAGAGAACTTCAAATCCCAGTAAAGTAGCTGTGGTGTTCAGGTGCAGTTTTGCTGCACCATACCTGTACATACTCTGTGCTGCTGCTCTGTTGCGGGGTGACAGCCTGATGTCTTGTGCAGAAGGTCTCAGGAGGGGGAACTGTGATGTGCAGAGGGTCTCAGGAGGGGGAGATGTGCAGAGGGTCTCAGGAGGGGAGATGTGGCAGAAGCCTTGTAAACAGGTGCCTTGTGGTCCCCAAGAAGGCTGTTGTGTGGTCCCCAGCAAGCACTGGTATTGGGTTTTGGTATCGGAGCATATGCACAAGTACAAGTACTCGTGCAAATGCTCAGTATCGGCATCGATACTGGTATTGGTATCGGTGCATCACCATACATAATGATACTAAATAAGCCTGTGAGTAGTTATTTCCTTAATGCACAGCTTGGAGATCTTCTGGTATTAGACTCTATTAAAATAGATGTGTTGTGAACTGTGTGCTTCTCTCTTAATTATTTGCTACAGATTTTACAGCAGAGGAATGGAGTGGCCCTCCAAGGTGATCATGGAGTTGGTAAAACCGAAACAGTAAAGGTATGTGCTAGTCTCATGTGATAAATAATATACTTTTCATAACAAAATCAAGTAGTTGTTACAGATGGACAAAATTAAAATAGAGAAGAACTCCAGGCAAGCAGCATAATATATAGATGGAATGCATATATGAGAGCTGTTTACCTACCAAAGGATTTCATTTTTATTTCCATCCAGTCTGGAGATCGACACAACTCTGCCCTAAAGCACAGCCCTTTCTAGCAGGGGAGGGTAACTGACCTTGCTCTACTGCAGTTTCACTTTCACATTCAGGTCCCTTTCCCACCCCCACCCTGTGACTGGACACTGAAAGAAGAAGCAGTACATTGATGAGCTCATCTCTGTGTCACCTTGCTTTCTCCTATTAGCATGTTCTTTGCTCTGCAGCACACCTGGCTGGCTCATTGTGCTAATTCTCCTTTCCCTTGCCTGAGCTCCGCTATGAAAAGAATGAGGCTGACAACAAGTCAACATCAGGTTCTTGCACTAAAAACATTTTTTAATGATATATTAATTATGCACAGCAGCATTAATTGTTGTCTTTTATAGTTCACCATTAAGTCATTGGTTCTATTTTCCCATTGTTTGGGGATTCATTTATGGGTGAAATTAAGACCACATGCACCTCATTGAAGATCTTATGATGTTCCTGTCCAAGGAAGCTCAATACTTCTTAAATGTTGAATTTTGCATGATAAATACATTGAGGGGAATTTATCAAAACTGGAGCAGAGAGAATCTGGAGCAGTTGTGCATGGCAACCAATCAGCTTCTCTCTTTCATTTTCAAATCTCAACTGAACAAACTGAGACGCTGATTGGTTGCCATAGGCAACTGCTCCAGATTCTTCTGCTCCAGTTTTGATAAATTCCCCACATTATGCTAACAATGACATGGGGGGAATTTATCAAAACTGGAGCATAAAGAAACTGGAACAGTTGCCCAGTTTAATCAAGCCTGGCTGAGATGGTGGTCAGTATACTTAGTATATTTATTTTTTACTTTCTACAAATAACTTTTTTTTTTTTTTTTTTAAGGGCCTGTCTTACGTATTGGGAAATTTTGTTTTTCTCTTCACGTGTTCTCCAACAACAGACTTATCTGCGCTTGGGAGAGTTTTGAATGGAACTGCTCTGGTAGGTTTAGATTTGTACTGAGAAAATGTTAATTTGTCAGTAGACAAAACCTGCTGTACAATGCAAACTCATGCTCAGTGACCTTACTACTTTTTATAACTAGAATTTCAACCCTGCATGTAAGTATTCTTTGAACCAAAAATTTTCCCACTGGGGACACAGATGAAAAAAAGCCAAGCAGAGGATCTAACATTTCCCTTCTCTATTCAAAACTTAAAGGAAGAGTTTTTGGGTGGAGTTTGACTTTTCTACTTTAACCACTTGAGTAACAGAGTGTATATTACCAGGTTGGTTTTCAGTTTTCAGTTCTATGATAGCTTGAGTGACAATGACTTAGTCATGCAATACCAGTGACATACTGTACCTCTTGTTCCGGGTGAGGTATTCCCCAGCACGCCCCGCCAGATGTAGCCCCACCCCCACCCCTTCTCCAAGTTAGTGTAAAGGAGAAAGGGAGGAGCCTTCATGCCCCTCACTTGCTAGTCAATGCTGAGGCTTCGAGATCTTTTGAATGGACAGCTTGGACCAATTACGCTTTGCCATTGGTCCAAGCCATCCACAGAGCTCACGCTTCTAACAAGTAGAGGCTGTGACAGCTCTGGCTTCAATAGTTAGGTTACACAAGCAGTGGGGAAGCCTGCTGCCGTGTAACCTAACTACCTGTCAAAAGCTGGGAGGATTTCCCTGCTGTGTAACCTGATAAATGCCGCACTGAATGGAGAAAAAACTGTCAGCTTCAGACTTGAATCTGACAGCTTTTTCCTCCATAATTCTAGGTGAGGCTCTGCCTCACCTGCCTCCCCCTGACCGCACATCTTTGTGCAATACTATACCTATATTTTTTTAAGCAGATAGCACATTCTTTTGGTGGTATGTAAAAAAAAATTGGGCTTTTTATTTTTCACTATAAAAAAAAAAAGGCTGAACATTTTTAAAAAGGGTTTCCCTTATTTTCTCTTATAAAACATAACAAATGCCAGGACAGTACAAGATCCCCCCAAATGGTCCCTTTTTGGAAAGAAGACATCACAAGGTGATCTGATTTTTTGCCACAATTTTTTGGGAATGAAGAAACATGCTGGTGTTAAAGTGGTTAAACAACGAATTCTGACTAGATACAGTGCCTCATTAAATGTACAGGTCATACACTGAGGGAGGAGGGTGTAAATGGGTTAATGCCTAGGTCACATACAGTGGGAGGATGGACATGAGGGGCTTAAGGTGCAGGGGGGCAGGGCTAGAGTGACGTTCATAAACATCGCTCCAAAAAAACATTTCCATCTACTGCCTCCCCCTGACCGCACATCTTTGTGCAATACTATACCTATATTTTTTTAAGCAGATAGCACATTCTTTTGGTGGTATGTAAAAAAAAATTGGGCTTTTTATTTTTCACTATAAAAAAAAAAGGCTGAACATTTTTAAAAAGGGTTTCCCTTATTTTCTCTTATAAAACATAACAAATGCCAGGACCGTACAAGATCCCCCCAAATGGTCCCTTTTTGGAAAGAAGACATCTCAAGGTGATCTGATTTTTTGCCACAATTTTTTGGGAATGAAGAAACATGCTGGTGTTAAAGTGGTTAAACAACGAATTCTGACTAGATACAGTGCCTCATTAAATGTACAGGTCATACACAGAGGGAGGAGGGTGTAAATGGGTTAATGCCTAGGTCACATACAGTGGGAGGATGGACATGAGGGGCTTAAGGTGCAGGTGTGCAGGGCTAGAGTGACGTTCATAAACATCGCTCCAAAAAAACATTTCCATCTCCCCACCTTATATTTCCCAATAGGGCAGCAGGGAGGGAGTAAAGTACAACTTTGAGCTCCTGCATGACAGTCTAAATTTCCAAACTTCCAAACATAGAGTTACTGAAGTTCCAAATCCAGTTACTATGTGATGCACAAGCCTCATAAAGTCACTCACTGAGCCAAATCCTCCTTCATTTGTGCCTCAGATGCTTCTCCTCCCAAACACTACATCTTATACTGGGAGGGTTTCAGAAGCAGTGGCAGTGCTGTTAATCCAGAAAGCAGTGTGGTCAGGTGACGATTGACAAGCTACAGACTTCTAAATTAGCAGGGACAATGTTGATAGCTACACCACTTGCAACATTTTTTATCTCACTGTAGAACAAACAGTTATAACCTACATAAGCATGGCAACACTGCAGTGAATTCAAGAGCAGTGCAGCATCAGTGTCACACTATCACAGGAAGGTGAATTTGGTGGCCTTAACTGGCAGGATCAACAGTTGTTTTTTTTACTTTGCAGGTGAAATTAGAAAAAGCTGTTTGTGCTACAGCACATGTTTTTTAGTTCTGCTATTATATACACTGCGTGGCCAGATTATTATGACCACCCCATCAGTACTTCGTTGGGCCACGAGATGACTCCACGAGATGACTTCGTTGGGCCGCCTTGTGACTCCACGAGAATTTATAGAGTTCACAGGGGAGAAATATGACATACTGCAAATATCCATATCTATTCAGTCACTGGGTAAACATACACATAGAGCACTATTTTGCATCTGTCTTTGTTCACAATCTGAGAAGAGGTTATATTACAGGCTCAGTATTAGAAAATGGTTTAGTAACAATTACATAGTTTGGTTTAAAAAAAGAGACATGTCCATTACTTTAAAAACAAATAAATGAAAACAGTGTATACTCAGAGCCCTAAACCTGCAGTTAATGCACAGGAAAGTAAAAAGCCCTTCTAAGGCTGGGCACACACCTTACAACCATCGCAACACTTTTGTCTTGCGATGGTTGTGAGGTAATTAAAAAAACATACGATCTGCCTATCTTGGACAGGCAGATCGTACTTGCAATGATGGCAAGCCCGCCCCGCTGAGTGGCGGGCTTCCGATGACCACAATGCCAAACGGGCAGTGTGCGCTTGCGCACACCTGCCCGTCCGGCTTTTGTCTTACGAACATGCTACACACCCGCAGAAAATCGTACGAATTTCGGCGGGTCTTCGAACATGTTCGTAAGATAAAAGTCGTGCGACCTTACAGTAGTAGAGGTCGCACGGCTTCCCCACACCTTACTATAATCGTACGATCGCGGGATTTCCCGCGATTATCGTACGATTATCGCAAGGTGTGTGGGCACCTTAAAGCATGGTCCAATTTGCAAACAGACACATATCCATCAAGTTAAATTGAAAATAAATAAAAACCTTGCATCCTCAAGGTGCATCCAATAGTTAATCCAAAGCATGGCAAACACTTTACAAAGCATTATCTAGTTTGTTCTAGCATGAAAATAATTCCTTACTGATCCCAACAGGCAATGGGATACTCCATGGATCAATTTCTACAGTGTTATTTCTTGAAAATATCATAGCCATCTGTATTTTGTGCAGTTAGAAACACACTCTGTCCTTTTTAAAGCAATCTACTGAGTTGGCCAGAAATAGTTTCTCTGGAAGACTAGTCCGCATTTTTTAAACTCTAACTGTAAAGGACCCTTTTCCTTCCAAGAGTGTTACCTTGTTTTTTTTGATGATTCAATCTACTCCTAATCTGCTCTTCTCAAGGGTGAATAAAGCTCAGGTCAGTTCAGCTGATACTTTTTGACAGTTTTGGGGGGATTTATTAAGACTGGAGCAGACAGAATTTGGAGCAGTTGCCCATAGTAACCAGTTTCGCACTTCAGGTTGTTCAGTCAAGCTTTGAAAATGAAAGAGAGAAGCTGATTGGTTCTCATGAACAGCTGCTCCAGATTTTGCCTGCCCCAGTTTTTATAAATTCCAATCATGGTTTTTTTATTTGATAATGTTCATTGGCAATGTTTAGTGATGTGGTTATACCAGCAATCCACAGACAGTTAGACAATCCTCCTAATCAATCAGAATCACAGTGAATAGCACTAGTGATTTTTTTTGTCCTATCTTTTTGCCCTATCTCTTCAAATAAGGAAGTGGGATTCTACATATAGGAAGGCAAGTAGGCTGCTCATATTGCAAGGGTATTTCCCTTACTTAGCTAAATGAATGAGGTAGAGCTCTACTGGCTTCCATCAACCAATCATGTCTAGGCAAAGTTACTTTGTTTACATTTTCCTTGCACATGACTGGGAATTCTTTGCAAAGTGAATTTTCACCACTTTCACTAAGGTAAGGGAAAATTATGTTGTAAAGTGAAAATCCCCTCTAATGTGTACAACCTATTTGCCTTAAGTAAATCAACCTCATGGGCACTTGCTTGTTCAATTTTAAAGAGCAAATTATCTTGAAATGTTCCTTGCAAAAGAGTTTGATTGAATCCCTGACCAAAGACTATGGAAGATTTCAAACCAGATGTCTTTTTGTTGTGCACTTAAAACTAAAGGCTTTAGCGTCACGGTTTAATGAGCTTTAACATGTCAGTAAAATGATTTTGTTTTTCATTTGCTTTTTAGGATGGATGCTGGAGCTGTTTTGATGATTTTCACCTCCTCCCTGAGCAGGCAGTCTCTGTCTTCATGCACAATGCCCGGGCCCTTTATGACTCATTCAATGCCAGACTATCTAAGATCACTATACAAGATGGATGCAAGGTCTGGAAATGTTTACAGAGAATGAATCATGCTATCAAATATTCTTTGCAGACATTATTCCCTTATCAGGTCTTTCTGCAGCCTGACAAATTAACTGACTTTTTTCCCCTCAGTAAAGGCCAATCTGACCTGTGGCTGTGGTTTCTCATTCCATTGCACAATAATGATTTGCATCTCTAGGCTTGTTTCAGGAAGATTATGCCTCTAGATATAGTATATGATATTTGCTTAAGTCAATTGTGAATGTCAGACCGGTTTCACTGCTTGTGGACTTCCTATAAGTGTTTAAATAAGGAACACGTTGTAAAGATAATGGTTAGACATTTTATATAACTGAACATTCATCGGTTACGTAATCACACGGTTGTGTTGTAATTACATTGTTGAAAGCTATTAGCACCATCTAGTGGGTGATTGCGTACATAAAATGTACTGAAAAATGCAGAAACAAAAAGTCCATAGTATGAAGGGTATTCATTTATATACCTGCAGTAATACAGCAACAATTTCTTAACTGGGCCCAGTTTCAGTTGTTTTACAAAACTATTGCAATATGATTATTACTTCCATACATTTTATAGGTATTAAATATTATTCCATGCTTTACTGTAGCCCCCACCCAAAAGGAGCTTGCAGTTTAATGTTCTAAAATCAGTAAACTGTGCTGCCTTTTAAACCAAAAAGAGACAAGGTGGGACTTCAAAATTTGGGTTGTCAGCAGAACAGGAATAGATGGGAAATCTTCCAGTTGGGACTCTAGTTCTGGTTTCACCCTTTTTCTTGCTTCTGCTGTCCCAACAGCTCTTCTGAGTTTGTTGATAGTTCTGTAATTTCAGGTTTCCAATATTAATGATCCTTTAGATCAGTGGTTCTCAACCTGTGTAACCTCAGGACCCACATTTGTCCTTAGTCCAAGTAATGACCCAAGTTCCACTCTAATGGAATGCATGGCATTGCGGTACCGCGCGATCCGATGTGGGCAATAGATCTGTGGGTGGGAGATGCGTTTGAGGTGCCATTCAGATTTGAATGGCAATTCAATGCACCTCACACCTGAATGCGTGGTAGGTTTGATTGCATAGGACTGTGTGATTAATGCACTGTACTAGTGTGAATGGGCCCTCGAAAACACTAACACAACCTCAGACACAATATCACACACTCACAGACATTCTTTCACACACATATGCACTTCCCAAAATTTTTTACAAAAATTTAAAATCCACCCAGTCTGCCCATCTTAGGAGAACTGGAGTGGATCCTCAGCCTGGGGTCCATTGTGGGCTGAGGTGCTGTGGCAGAGCTCCATCCATATGTGCATCCACTTGTACATTCCCTTGCACATCCTGTAGAGGTGCCAGGAGCAAGAATGTTACTTCTCTCCAGTCCAGGCACCTCTGCAGGACACGCAACGGAGCTGAGAGCAATGCACTTATGGATGGAGCTCCCTGGTGGCCCTAGCCCAACCATACCTCAAGCTGACACTCGGCGCTGGGCAGCATATTTGAATGGCAGCTTCCCGTGAGAACTGACACTGCTGCTACCCTATTCATTCCTGATAAAGACAGTAAAATAAGAACACTTTATGAACTCAAAGATCAAGCAACAGTGTGTTGATTTGATTGCAGGATGTTTCAGTTCATTAATGATGACAAACAAAATTCATAGTTATAAGTAGAACACTTTAAGAAATAAATATGTGTAAAGTATTAAGGTGCTTTTTTTATATTCTTAAGAAGTCAACAGATTTATTTTTTTTGTCATTTATGTGCTTTCATTAACACCTATTTGTATTTGCAGGTTGAAGCACACCCCAACTGCGGCCTGTTTCTCACTGTCTCCAAAACAGGATTCCAGAATCTACCTAATGATGTTCAAGCCATATTTAGAGCAGTCTCTTTGGTTGTTCCCAACCACACTGCACTTCTCAAGGCTAAACTTACCAGCCTTGGCTTCAAAGGTTCCAAGATCATCGCCACCAGACTACAACTCATCTCAGACCTGCTCAAAGAACAACTGTTAGTTTCAGAATTATAGTATGCTTTATAGGCTCTGTAGTGGTGTTACTAATCTCAGCAGCACAGTTGACCAACTACTACCTTCCTGCTTATTGATTTAGCAAATATACTAGAACAGTTTTTTTCTCAAAGGTGTCCTCAAATCCCATGAGCAGTGTAGGTTTTGCAAGTAACATCACATTTGTACAGATGGCATCATCATTAATGTCTCAGCAGTGTGGTCGATCTATACATGTGGATATCCAGAGTACAGGATTTGAGGATAAGTTTAGGAAACACTGATCTAGAATTAAATAATATGTTAATAGTTCAGGTACCTGGCCATGTTATTATTCTAAATCGGCACCTCAGTAATGGGTTTCTCCTGAAGATAGAGACTCAGAGAATTATAAAATGTTTTTAGCATTGGGTACCACTAATTATAATCATATCTTTGATATTCTGTAAGCAAGAATGTCACCTTACTAATACCTGATATACCTAATGTGAGCTTCATATGAGCGGCTAATAACTTATAGTTGGTACATATTTGTAGAAAGTGACATCTACGAATTGTACAGTCATATGTTATAGCTAAGTTTTAAAGATCAACCTACACTATTGGCTTGCAGCCAATACTAATTATTGTAGCTTAAATGTTTCCCATTTTTTAAAACTAAAACTAAAAATATGTTCAACAACATACAGAGTTTTTAGATTTATATGTTACTTACCTGTTCTTTTAAACAGAACTTGAGAATGTGATGTGTGCATTATGCTTTGTTCTGATGTATTGCTTCATCTTGTTGGCCCTTAGCTCAGAGGAATATCACCGACATATCAGCTTCCAGTCTATGGTAGAAGTCATATACCGGGCATGTCAGAGGCGGGAGATTGAGAAGATGATTAATGGTCGCATGGAGCTGGAAGGAGGAAGACTCTCCCGCTCTAGCAGTGCTATGTCTTATCAGCAGCTCACAGCATATGCATCAAGTAAGATGCATTAGAATAAATAACTTCTTATATCTGATTCAAGGAGTAATACATGCATCAGGCTCACTGCACATACTTAGAATGAAATTGGTGTTACAAAACAAGTCATATGAATATCATATTTTGACTTAATGACAACCATAAGCATGCTATAACATTATTGACATAGATATGTTTTTAAAATGGAAAAAAAACTAATCATTATTGTGATCATGTTAGTATAAAATGTGAATGGTAAGCATATTTACTTATTTTATCTGCTTTTGCATATTTCAGGTCCTGTGCCAAGTTTAAAAACTGGCAACAGCACAGACAGAAATAAAAAAGTCATCTCTTCTAACCCTGTTCTGCTTGCTATGAAGGAAAGTCACGCCTTGGTAGCTGACGCACTACAAGATGTGCTAGGCCCACGAATGACAGGCGATGTAAGTAGTAGAGTTTGGTAAAACTTGTATAGCAAGGAGTTCCAGACCAAGATCAGTAGACAGGCATCATACACCTAAGAAAAGGGCAGCAAAAATACAGGAACAGCAAGGGTATATGTGTTTTATTCATAAACCTGTCAGTAGAAACTCTCCAGCTAGTAGGAATCTTGGCTTTGGGAGCATAACATGAGCTGTGAAGTAAATATAACTAAGAAGACTGAATCTTTTCATATTACAGTGCTGAATTTTTTTTTCCTCCTTAGGGTCGAGGGCAGGTTCCTAAATGGCTTTTTCTTTAAGAACACTAAAAATAAAGTCTGTTCACCTGCACCCAGGAAAACTGGAGCAATGTTAGGAAACATATGGCGGTGCTGATTATTGTCCTTTAATGGTCACTGCGTAAATTGTCGGCGCTATATAAATACCTGTAATAAAAATGGTCCTTTATTGTCCTTTAGGGTGGTTAAAGGGCCCGATTGTTAGGAAAACCTCAGGCAAGCTGTTTTTGCCACCTTTAGATTCCATAAATAACATAAAGTGCACGGGATAATCAACATATACTGTACATTATGACTAAAAATGAAAATCTAACTACATCAGTACATTTACTTAATACAGCAATGTGACTGCAATTCTACTAGTCAAAATCCCAACTTTATTAACATTATGCATTCTTTACTTGTTTGTGCTGGCACAAAAAAGTACTATGAATTATTTTACATCAACCGTAATGAAATTATATTTTCCCTGTGTTTAGATCAAATGTTTTGGCAGCCATTTTTTAGCTTTAGACCGTTTGCAAAACAAATGATTGTCTAAGGCAGGAACTATATCATGTTTTTTTTAGTTAAAGGAACCTAATTTTGTGGGGTTTGCTGACATAGTCCAGGTTAGCCTCTTATTACATTGAACCAGTTTTCCAGACCTTAAAGACTGTGTTGCCTTAATTTCTATGGTTGCATCTCATTTTTAATTCCCAGATTGTGGTCTTATGTTTCACAGAGTCATTTAGTGTTCAAGCAAATCCTAGGAGATGTTTTTATGGGAATGTACGACACATCTGGTTCTAGACAAATCCTTCAGAAGGAGTTAGAAAAAGCCATTCTGATGAAAGCAGATGAAAATAAATTATTTTCCCATTCACCCTGGTTGAACAAAGTGAAACAGCTCTTCAGTTTGTCTCTTGTAAATTCAGGTAGGCATGTACAACATTCTTTGTTATTTATTAAAACTTTTTTATTAATATTTGCACAGGAATTATGGATATGTGTAATTAAAATAAATAGTCATCGCTGCCAGCTTGTTTTCAGATCTTTGTCATTTTGACAGTTGTTCAGGGCATGTGTATAATAAAGGCATAAATTTGTAAAAATAAGTACATTGTTGAGCTTGTAGACAATGTAACAATCAATATATAAGTGGAAACACCTAGATAGTCTAAAGCTGGCCATAGACAGCTCAATTTTGGACCAGATACTGCTGAATTGGCCAAAAGTTTACAGAATTTCAGAAACACCCAGCTTAACCAAAGCACATTTATAAATCGACTGAGCCTGGTGGAAAAATGTCCCCTAAATAGCAACTTCATCTTATTAGATGTAGGCTCTGTTTGGGTATTTAGGCAGCAGTGAGGTCACAAGGGGGGTGCATCAGAATGGTGTCACCAAAATGACTGACATTTTTGGTGTCACCCCCTCTGAAAAGTCGGGCACTCAGTCATGGACTGAAAGCCCAACAGTTGCACGGGAGAGGAGGGGACCCGGCAGCATACCTTATGCCGCCGGGTGAACATTCCCACCTCTCTTTAGGTGTGTGTTGACATCACACTCATGCATGATGACGGCCCAGTGGGGTGATACCCAGCGGCCGCTCCAGGTCACACCATGCCTGGCAGAACCTGAATACCTGAACAGAGTACAATAGCCAGCAGTGGAGATCCCTCCATCGACATTGTTAGAAAGGAAAATAAAAAATAAAACAGTTGGTTTTAACAGAGCTTTACCTAATTTACTAAGTGAAAGAGAAAAGACATGGACCAGAACATGTCAGAAGCTGCAGATATGCTACAAGAGATGATCAGAGATCATGCATGACCAAACATGCTATAGGATTTGTTAAACACTGGATTCATGCATCAGGATACAGTCATAGACGGGACATATGTTACAGCTGACTGCTAAAGATCACCAGTATTACAGCTCCTATAAAATAGAAGATTTTACATTTGTCCTTTCTAGAGCCCCCTTAAAAATTACTTTTGGAACCTTTGATATTTATCTCAACAAGATCCATTATAAAAACATAACAAGAGAAAAGGAATGGAGGGCAAGGAAAAAAAGGGGGGGGGGGGTTAAGAGAAAAAAACCAAACTAGTTAAATGTTGAAGTCTAGTCTAAAGAATATTTTTTCTTTACTGGAGTAAACACCTAGGTAAGGAAACACTGTTTAAACATTGACTAATGACTGCAGAGGACCTGGTGACCGATCAAAGGTTCCAGAAGACCACAGATTATGCACCAGGGGTCTAAATTCTATTGAATACTGAGAACAAGGAGCTGTTAAAATCTATTGTTTATTTCGTTTGTAGCAATATTTAGTTTTGCATGGCTAGCACAATTTTCATTAAATTTTTTTATTCTTAGGTGTGATAGTAGCAGGTCCACCAGCATCTGGAAAAAGTTCTTGCATTAGTACCCTTATACAAGCTCTCAATCATATCCAAGTCTCTAGTGAGAAGCCATCCCATAAAATTGTGAAAATCAACCCTCTGAGTGTGGATAACAGAACTCTGATGTTTGGTGGCCAGAATGCATCACACATGTGGCAGGATGGAGTTGTCACATATGTGTGGAAGAAGGCAATCCGGGTAATAGGTTATTCGTTAAATGCAAAAACAATAAGCAAATGTGCCTGAAGCTAAATAAGTACTATTAAAGGGACAGTTCATGCAAAAATGATCATTTAGTTAAATGTAGATGCTGGTAGACTTAGTCACTCCCTGGTTCCTTAGATGTTTTGGATACTCCAACAGCAAGATGTTTTTTTCTGCTTTTGGTGACCCTGCCCACCTCAGTGTTCCACCACCTCTGTTGCATTCTCCTTAACGTAAAATACAATGTAAAATCCAACATGATATGTGGAACCCCCCCCACATAATGGTTATAGAACGCAAGACCCAAGAATGCAAGTGCAGATATCTCACCAGATGAATTAGAAAATGTTGTTTCCAGCAACTGCAGCATCTAAAACAACTAAATGCCAGTTTAGGGTGGACTAACCCATTCAACAATTTCTATAGGTTTTACACTGAGTGATCCGTAAAATAAGTAAATATTACACTAGCCCAGGCAGTCTCTGTTCGCTTCATATAGTCTGCTTTTTTTATCCTACCCTGATCAGATTATTAACATGGACCTGAAGTCCAATTAGAACTGAAGAATTGGCTTTTATAAGCTACACAATGTTGTCAACATTACAGAATAATTCCAGTTTAATGTGACTAAATACTACTGGCTATGTTGCCACTAATTTATAGAAGTATGATACAAATTATGTAAAGTATTAATTCACTTTTACACTTCTAGAATCACTGCAATACATGGCTATGGTTTGATGGACATCTGACCTGCAGCTGGGCTGACAACTTTAACAGTGTTCTAGGACCAGAAAAGGTAACATAGTGTGTGTCACTAAAATGTATTAGTTTACAGAGCAAGAGGCTCAATTCACTAAGCTGTTAATTATTATTTGCCCCATATTAACCATTATTTTCAGCAATCAGGACTACTGAGAGCTAAAAATAACAGTCAAATGGTGGAAAAAAAACTATTGTAATGGCGATAATTATATTATCTAAACTCAAAGCTTTATTTAGTTTTGAAAAGAGTAGGGAAAGGGTTAAAACCCCTGTCAGGTTATTTTTTTTGCAATCTTCCACCGGGAAGATTTCCCTTCACTTCTTATACTCTAGATCTGTGGTTCTCAACTGGTGGGTCACAACCCTGTGTTCAGTGAGTCAATGCATGCTTTCCACTGCGCTAGGTGAGAAGCTCCTCAGCCTCCACCTAGAGCAGCACTGTCAGTTCTCTCACCAAGCAGCCATTGAAAATATGCTGCCGAGTGTCAGTTTGAGGTGGGGTGGGCTAAGGTATGGCCACGAGGGAGCTTCATCCATAGGTACATTGATTACAACTCCCTTGCGCGCCTTTTAGAAGTGCCTGGCTCACATTCTGGCTCACAGCACCTCTACAATGTGCACAAGGGAGCTATACAAACATTGCACATATGGATGGAGCTCCGTCAAAACACAGCAGTTCACCACTGGACCGCAGTCTGAGGATCCACTCCAGTTCTCGTAATGTAGGGAGACTGGGTGGATCTTGTGGGAGTGTGTGAGAGAATGTCTGTGAGTGTGTGTCTGTCAGTGTTTTTGACAGCCCATTCACACTGGTGCAGTGTGTTAATCACACAGTCCCATGCGATTAACGCACTGTACCAAGCAATCGCACCTACCGTGCATTCTGGTGTGGGAGGTGCGTTGCGGTTTCCTTCATTTGAATGGGACCCCCAAACCACCTCCCGCCCACAGTTTGATCAGCCACACCATAATGCACGGTACCGCAACATTGTGTGTTCCCGTGTGGTGCGACTTGGGTCTTGACTTTATGACCAAGGACAAATATGGGTCTTGAGGTTACACAGGTTGAAAACCACTGCTCTAGACACATCTGGAGGCAGAAGGAAAACTCTACAAAATAAGGGAATTTTTTTCATAGACAGTTGTCACCACAAGGTGCATAATTCCTATGCTCCTCTGTTCCATCTAGGGGCAGGAGTGCCGTGCAAGCCTACGGCTTGGCGGAACATTTATAAATCGGCATCCAAGTGTCTCCTTTGATCTTGTTCCATTTGTTTCCCTCTCACTCCTGGAGACAATGGTTATTAGGGCAAGTGTGAATCTCATCAGTGGGGACACATACCAAACAGAAAAAAAATAGTTCACTACTCTATTAAAAAAAAAAAAAGTAAAAAAAAAAGAAAACCTGTAGAGAGATTGCTATTACTAACTTCTTCTGAAAATGCCTGGTGGCAGATCCAGCAACTTGAGTACTTTTTGAATCATTGACCAACAGCAAGCATGCAGATCAGAATTTGCGACTTCATACAGAATCTTGTAACCGCTTGCTAGTTACAGAGTTAAAGTACCTAAAGCCAAAGACATCTAGGCGACAACATTTTCTGCAGACAGTCACCAATAGTAGCCCCCATATTTCCTTTAAGTTGGCCAAACCCAGTGGCTTTACCGCCTAGTAGGCGCACCGTTTTTATGTTTTTCCAGTGGCATAACTGTAATCATGCATTTTGCTGATTCTAAATTATGGTATTGGGGTATAACAGATTCTTTGTTGTATGTAAAAAAGTAGACTTAGGAATGTACCAACATCTTGGTAAGTATTTGTTCATATTGTATGCAGTGGGCTATATTCTGCCATTTCATATCAATCCTAGTTACTTAGTTAATTGTTCTTAGATGTTGCAGCTCAGTAATGGTGACCATCTGAATCTCTCTGAAAATCTGAAGTTGATATTTGAAACAACTGATTTGCAAATGGCTTCCCCAGCAACACTCTCAAAAACTGTGAGTAATTACAATTGCTGTTACTTTCCCAGTATTTTACCTCAAACAAGAACTTATACATAGACAGCATATCTAGTCCATGGGTGTTCTCTCTTAACAATATTCCATAAAAAGCTATTTTTTTTTTTACAGCCAGCAAAATTGTGGTCAGTTTCTTTACAATTTTCCCTTTTTGTTCCTCTCTTTCGTTTCTACCTCATGCGTAAGGTGATTGTTGCAGTATTAGTGGACTTGTTACAACACTGTTGACTACTGTCCATAATACTTTATTATTTGCTCTAACATTTACATTTTCAGGCCATGTTTTAGGGGACTACCACACCTTCATCTTGGTCCAAGCAGTAATCAGTGCAAATAATAAACACCATGTTGCCCTCTACCTCACAATTTGTGTGTATTAAAATGATCATTCAATAGCTTAGTGATACTTGGTACCCATCACGCGTGCAGGGGGCCGCATGTAGAACACCGACCCACCCCGCACCCCTTCTGTGCAGCTTACTCGGTAGCTGGTAGGTAACAGCTCTTGATTGCTAGACTAGCGTTTCTCACCCAGGGTGCCGTGGTACCCTGGTATGCCTTCCGGCTTCCTCAGGGGTGCCTCAAAATTTTGTGGTATGGAACTGTGATGTGAAGGGGGAATGAAGACTGATATGAAGGAGGCTACTCATGTAAAGGGGGAACTCTTATGTGAAAGGGGAGGGACTCAGATATGAAAGGGGCTTCTGATGTGAAAGGGTAGCTCTTGATGTGAAGGTAGGCTTTTGATGCAAGGGGTGACTCTGATGTGAAGGGGAGTAATCTTGATTTGAAGGAGGCACTTCAATGTGAAAGGGGAAAACCACTTTTTGTGCATTCTTGCACGGGATCCCCTTATAATATAATTGACATTTTAGAGTGAGTTGCCTGAAAAATTTGCATGCTTTTAAAGGGGGCCATGACTGAGAAATGCTGTGCTAGAAACATACCAACACCGGCATAGTTAAAGTATAAACAAAGGCAAGCAATGTGCAGGCTGGCAGTCCATACCTGCTCACTGGCTGAAAGGCAATTAAAATTGCACATGACTTCTTTTTTATGTTTATTACATTTTTTATTACATTTTCAAACATAAATTTCTAAATGTAAAATAGCAATCATACATAAAGAAATGTAATAAAATAAAGAGAAAGGAAAAAAAAAGGTGCAGTCATCAGCAATATTACAGAGATATGCACTTAACAAAAAGAAAAGTAATCCAAGTATGTGTGACAATGGTTAATTTTTCCGTTTCGCACCCTAATATTACTAAGGGCACATTGCAATCTGCAAGGGTGCAGAACAAACAACATGCAGTAAACAGTTTTCAAATTAAATGGTCTGCACATCTATCCTGGTGAAGACCTAGGCACTCGTAAAAGGGGAACAGGGAAAATGAAGCAAGGAGAAAGGTAGAGCAGAGCAAGAAAAAGGACAGCCCCTGATATCCCCCAGACCACACCCTAGCGGCTTAACTATATAGTTAGAGAAGACCGTTGGAATCCTGAGGGGAAAAAAATACTCAATACCAGGGAGTCCACGCTGCCTCATATCTAGGAAGCGTGTCCTCCTGACGGGCAGTCAGTTTGTCAAAAAACAATGCATGGGACATATTATCAAGAAAACGAGAATATGAAAGAGTGGGGGCTCTCCAGGGACACACAATCACATGCTTGGCTGCTATATAAATATATTGCAACAGGCGGAATTTCACAGGAGAAAAAACACTTGTTTTTTTATGAAGGAGCACCGATGTGCGGATCTCTGGGAGGCGCAGAGCCCTTGCACATGACTTCTTTAATGCAACACATGGCATGTGCATTGTGGTGTGCTGCAGTGCATTGTCAAGTACTGTCATGGTGCATTGGGGGTGCCTTTCAGAATGAATGGCACCGCAACACATGCACAGCATTGCACATGTAACTGTGCATTGTGTTAACGTACAGTAAAACACACTGAGGGGAATTTATCATAACTGGAGCAGACAAAATTTGTAGCAGCAACCAATCAGCTTTTCTTTTTCATTTTCAAATCTTAACTTAACAAACTGAAGAGAGAAGCTGATTGGTTGCCCTGGAAAACTGCTCCAGATTCTGTCTGCTCCAGTTTTGATAAATTCCACTCTCAGTATGTTGCCTTTATATAACAGTATATTCTGTTACTTTAAGTTGAGATGTAGTACTGCTTTAATACTGGGCTGCAATAAAGCTGTTTTGCAAAATTTCCCTCATTGTACCATGCATTGATGCAACAACAGGATATATATTTTTTTCTACTTAGCTGTGTGTTCCTTCTGTCATGTGAAGGATGGCACTTGAGGCCTCCTATATGTACTAAGTTTACCACCACTGGTTTAGGGCCCCATCGACATAGCATACAGCCCCGTGTGTTCAAAAGTTTGAAATCATTTTTTTTTTCATGGAATGTTAACTAATAGAATACAATTAATAGAATAAAGTTAAAATACTATAAATTCCAGTTTTACTTTTAATGTCATCAGCTACATGATTCTTACCTAAATAATGTGATCACCTTCAGTTCATAAACTTTCAAGATATAACATGAATTTAAAGGAAATATCAAAGAAAACAAATGCATGACGGAAAAGCATTTATATAGAAATTAATTTTGTTTTTATAACAGGGAATTTTGTATATAGAGGGAGATGCTCTTGGTTGGAGACCTCTATCTAAAATTTGGCTGGATGGGAGAAACCAACAAGAAAATGCAGTAAGTATAAATGTATGCATACATTTACACACAAGATATTCTAGACAAAATATGCCTAGTTCCTTCATGCCTCTATAGGCTTGCCTAATAACCATCACACCAAATTCAGACTTTGCTGGCTGCTCTTCAATTGTAGCAATATATAGATATCCACATACAGTACATGGATGCTCATTTGGATGACTTTGTGATATGTGAAAATGTTGTCTCATTTGAAATACAGTATACTTCTTTTTGTCAAAGCAGTAACTTATTAAAACCATTAGTTACCATCTGAATGTTTAATGTCATCAGCTACATGATTCTTACCTAAATAATGTGATCACCTTCAGTTCATGTAATTATGGTTAACATATTTTTTTATTAAATTTCATCACATAGAAGTTTACAAACATGCCTTTCTGTTTTGTTTTTTCATTTTAGGTTCTGTCAAAAGCCTTCTATAGGACTTTGGATCCAGTGTTCAATCTTATTCTCTATGATACCAAGTAATGTCTTTATTATGGCATCACACTTAAGAAGCTAAGGCTGAATTTCCCGTTTATAGCACAAGCATGTTCTAAAACAACCAACTTACAACTACACAATCTGTCACAATAGCGTAGTAGTCATACAGCAATTACTTGACAATGCTTAATCTGTGCTATTTTTGCATTAGTGTTACTGTAGTAATGATTTATTTCCTATATATAGTATATCATATACAGTAGCTTTTCATAAAAAGTACAGGTTTACATTCCTTATGTAACATTTTCATATTTCTGGATCTATTTTCATTTTCATGCTGAGAGTCATATCATACATATTATATTCTCTATCATATGATAGTTGAAATGCTTCTGTCTTTCGATTGATAAAATTAACAAGAAAAACAATATTTTGATCATGGCTTATACACACATTATTTTATAAATTGGTGTAAATACAGTTTTGCATATTTGTAATCTTTTTTATTCTTTTTTCTCTGGAGCACATTTGCCATAGAGTATATGTTACATATACACTGTATACTATGAACTCGATCATTTCATTTACTAAACTGATTTTATAATTACTTATCTTTTGCCACATAAAAGTACTTTATATTATGAATCTTATTGTTGTTTAAGGTGACCATACACTGTGCAAATTTCGTCACCCTTTCGGCTGGCATCCCTCAACCAGCTGATCGATGGAACCGGTTGGAAAATCTTTGTATATACAGAGCCAAAAAGCTGCCAGCTGAGTCTGGGTATTCTGACAGCAGCCGGCGGCTGCTGTCAGCATACAAAATAGACAGCGGGGATTCCATGATCAACACGCACATAGCGTTGATTGAGGAATCTGCTTTTTTTTTTATTCAGCCCGCAGGCTGAACAAAAATATAGAGCAGTGTATGGCCAGCTTTAGAAACACTGAGAGGTTCTCATTTCCTGCATCCTTCGACTAAGGAGCCTGACCTTATCTCATTAATGATTACACTTCTTTAAAGACTAAAGTAAAATTATCTAGATATGATGGTGACCATAAAACACTGTTTACCAATATGGACAAGTGATAATACCACTTTCATCAGAATCAGTTTTGCTGTATCTGATTTATCTGCTTCTATCAGTAGTGGTATAATTCTGTGCTAGCTTTGAAACAATATTAATCTGAAGTTTACATTTTTATAATGTCTTTTTCTTAAGGCCGGTTGTTCCAGTCACAGAAGTTGGCCTTTTCTGTTCATGCACGAACCTACTGACGGTCATGTTGAATGACAAGGCTCAGAGTATCGGAGGACAGCTGCATATTGAGAGGCTTTTTGTCTTCTGTCTTATTTGGTCAGTTGGCACACTCATTGAAACTTCAGAAAGGAAGAGGTTCAGTGAGTTGCTAAAGGTCTACACATCAGTGTAAGTGGCTGTTTTTCCCGTGCATGACTTTTGATATTAATTTATTAAAGGTTATTACACAGTATTATCAGGTTTCAGCAAATAATGAATATGTCTACTGCTTCTATGCTCTGCTAAGGGATAGTCTGCACATCTGAACTGTGTCTGGTTTCAGATGGTTGGCAAGCGGCATAGTTATATAGTGTATTAACATATCCTAGGAGTCTGGACTATATTCTATGTGCTTGAGGCCTGCCGGAGCTTTCATTTTGGACACCAAATATGTAAAAAGCTGGATTACTGTAAAGAGGTTTTAAGTGAACATGATTTGGCCTAAAATAAGTGTCTAAGGGCCTCTGCCACCATGCTTTTGTTCAAGTCAGAACTGCTTCTTTGCCCATACAAGTCAATGTGAATGAAAAATCAGCTTGAAGGTCAGAAGGGAGTCAACTGCAGGTCAAATGCACCTGCCAATAAATTTTGAATTATCTCAGAGGCATCTCAAACTGATGTCAAAGCTGCATTTAATTAACAACACAACTCCAAAGCCCATTGACACGGGCCTTCAGATAGCAACAGTGCCTTGTGGTGCCAGTAAGTACTTGTGTTAGCCTTCATATCAATCCCTGTGTCCGTGTGGAGCCTCTTTAGATTTACGTAGGACCTCCCTCTCCATGATGAATTTAATGCTCTACCTCTTCTTGGCACACAGCATCTAGTCTTCTAAACTGTAATTAAGCCCCCCCTCCAAGCAATAAGCTTCCTTCTTGGACATGTCTAATGGCAGAGCCTCATTGAACACTAGAACTTCAGCACCATTGTTACTTTTGGCTCTTATTAGGCCAAGTCAGGTTCACATCTATGTATCTTACTGTAGTAGTCTAAATAAATCATACTTGCTACATTTGTTGTGTGGTCTCCAGAAAGGACATCCTCCATATAAATAAATTATCTGCATTTAAAAGGCATGTAACATGTATCAAATGAAAAAACACAGGTATGTGAATTAGCCAAACAATTGTGTAATTTAATTCAAACTGCTTAAATATTTCTGTTACTTTATCTCTTGAGTTAAGCAACGTATCACATTTTTATACCCTTTCAGATATTGTAATATGATTCTTACAATTATTATGACTTTTCTGATCATGTTTATCCAATTTATTATTATAATTGTGATATCCTGGTTGTTGTGAGTTAAATGTAAATATAACCATAAGGAAAGTTTTTGGTCATATTTCTTTTTTATTCTGCTCTGAAGGTAGTGTATGGAAATATAAGAAACTAAGCAGTTGGTTTTGTTTTTGGATTGCAGTTTACCAGATGATGAGCAAGAGATTTCTGTCTTTGACTATTATCTTGATGAGTCAGGAGAGTGGGACACATGGCAGTCACGCTTACCTGACATCACATATGTTGGTAATACAGACATCATGGGAGAAGTGTTTGTTGAAACACAAGACACAGTAAGTAGATTGGCTCTAAAGTGGTGCATTTAAGCTTTGGGCATACTGATGGGCAGTCAGAATATGACCAATGAGACCTGGCATTGCCAATTGTCCAAATATCACCAGCTTTGGTTTAAGTGCCATGTTTTTGCATCTGCTAGTGTGTGGCAGTTTGTATAGTAAAACAGTAGAAAGGCATCATGGCACACTCACAAACCAGCATGTAAAACAACTTGTCTCACCACTAGGGTAATAACAGAGGTTTGGATACACGTCTTCTGCAGAGGATGTGAAAGCCGCACTGCCGCGCCAAGGCACCTCTTATAGTGCGGTCCTAACTCTAAACTATGAGAGTCTCCATCTTGGAGCACATGGGGGCAGAAGATTTCAAATTGGGTGCAGGTTTGTCAGGAGGACGCCCGGCCTCCTTAAAAGCACAGAAACACACAAGGGATCCCGCACATCCCAACGGCAGCTGAGAAACCCCATGCGGCGCTGCACCAAATCGGTCAAGCAAAACAAACGACAAACGCACTCAACAATTTGTCACCAGTTATACAGTGAGGTGCACACGAAATGGGCTTTGAACAGTAAAACAATAGAAAGGCCCCCCCTCCAAGCAATAAGCTTCCTTCTTGCACATGTCTAATGGCAGAGCCTCATTGAACACTAGAACTTCAGCACCATTGTTACTTTTGGCTCTTATTAGGCCAAGTCAGGTTCACATCTATGTATCTTACTGTAGTAGTCTAAATAAATCATACTTGCTACATTTGTTGTGTGGTCTCCAGAAAGGACATCCTCCATATAAATAAATTATCTGCATTTAAAAGGCATGTAACATGTATCAAATGAAAAAACACAGGTATGTGAATTAGCCAAACACAATTGTGTAATTTAATGCGGTCCTAACTCTAAACTATGAGAGTCTCCATCTTGGAGCACATGGGGGCAGAAGATTTCAAATTGGGTGCAGCTTTGTCAGGAGGACGCCCGGCCTCCTTAAAAGCACAGAAACACACAAGGGATCCCGCACATCCCATTGGCAGCTGAGAAACCCCATGCGGCAGTTTGTATAGTTTATTTTCTGTTTCTTTTTATATAAATACCCAGGATAGCAATTTTTCCAGTAAGGTGTCAAAACAATCCAAACTGAACTACTGGCAGATAAAAATGAAAGCACAAACATTGCAGATCTGTATTCATTAATACGGCTATAAATAAATATTGTTTTTTAAATGCAAGCAGTGTAAGTACCTGAATCTGACCTGGTATTAACCTCCTAATCCCTGTGCAGCAGAGCTCTGAATGGGAGAAGGAAAAACATGACAAGGAGTCAGTTAGTTGTGCTGCATTGCTCATGTGCTAACAAGGAGAATGCTGATAAGAGGAGATAGCAGAGAGATGAACTAATCAGTCTGCTGCTTCTCCTTTCACTGTTTAGTGAAAGGCTGGGAAAGGTACAAAACCTTTAAGTGTTACTTAACTGCAGCAGAGAAAAATCAGGTATCCTGCCTTACCAGATACGACTGTGCAATGTGATAGAACTATTTAAATCTCCGGACCGGATAGGCAGAAATACAAATCCAAAAAAATAGGTACAGCTGTTCCCTTATATGTACAGCATCTGTGTATTTAGGTGTTACTTTATAATGTTACTTTTGTGGGACACAGTTAAATCAGTATATGTAGAAGATTTTACAGGAGTTTTTTTCATGTATTTTTTTTTAAATAGATTATAGTTCGCACCTTCTTAGAATATGCCAGCATGGGATCGCAACATGTCTTGTTAACTGGACCTCAGGGATGTGGGAAGACAGCGCTAATGAATGACTTCATCTCTACCCGAGGCATGTGAAAGATCTTGTGGGACAATCATTCCTTTTCCTCGTTAAGTGTCTTTTAAATGTGTTATACAGCTGCCTCATTCTGTATTTACAGATCGAGCCCGTACATTGCTCAAAAGAATGGTGTTTTCAGGATCTTCAAAGGCGAAAGAACTACAAGAGCTTCTAGAGCAAAATATAGTCCATAGGCAAGGTACTGCAGGATCAATGAAATGACATCATGATGATATCAACTAAACTAATATAACCTTACAGAGACTTTGCCCAGGCTATGAGCTGGATCTCTATGACCTTTGAACGCCCTGTGTATATATTTATATGTATCATCTTACATACCTGGACTGCTATTAGCAACAGTTATTTTATTTAAAAAATAATGCCACTTTATAAACTAAATGTGAAATGTAACAATTTGTGTTTTCAGGCTTCATATATGGTGCAAGAGATGGGAAAACATTGCATCTGTTCATTGATGATCTTAATCTCCCTACACCCGATGAAAATGAGGTGCAGTCTTGTAATGAGGTAAAGTATTTATATTTCAAAACTGATCTTACAAATGACTTGGAGACTTTGTGACTGTAAATATAATTATAAGTTATTAGTAATTTAGCACATCAGTAGTTAAATGGTAAACCAATAAATATTTCAATATTTTTCTATAAGGCTAACAGTGTTCAACATTTGGTATTCATTACTCATTCATTCCAGTTCCAATCTCCCTTTAAAAGGAACCTATGAGCATAGAAATATAGGAGTTGGCATTGCTTCCTTGTCTTAAAAGTTCAAGCTCCAGGGCTGTCATCTTTATCCTCCTTTGTTACTGAACCCCCCCCCCTCCCCTCTCTCACACACAACATGCTAATGATTTTTTGATTTCTGTGTTTACTATATAGCTCATTTTAGACAGAGTGACGTCTTTTCTGGGTCTCTGCTCTTCTTTGTGCAATGAAGGCAGATCATGGCAGGTGGGAGGAGCTTTGAGGGTGCTGTATATAACTTTCTGAAAACATCAGAGCATTCAGCCTTAGTTCCCCCTTTAAAGGAGAACTATGGGGTTAAGGCTTTTCCCCATAGTTCTCCTTAGGGTAACGGGAGCTGTAGCTCGCGGTATACTAAAACGCCGCAGAGTGTGAGTGAACGCCGGTATGTGTTCGCTCACCTCCCGATGAAAAGCACTCACCTCATAGTTCTCCTTTAAGAGCCCTCAGCCCTCTTGGCAAGATTTACAAATGCAAATATAAAAATGCCGTGATGGGTGGATGTCAGTCAAATCACTGGCCGCATGATATTTTTGGATCAGGGACTCAGTATGCATTAAAATAAAGATAAAGAAGATTTCCCAGAGTTTGCATCTTTAGAAAATATGTCAGTAGTGTCGGCTCCCTTACTACAAAATGAATCCAGTCTCAAGTGTGTAACCAAGATCTATCTTGATGGTTTTCAACATCAAGTATGTGTGCTTGTAGTGCATCAACAGCTTTATTGCAGCCCAGTATTAAAGCAGTACTACATCTCAACTTAAAGTAACAGAATATACTGTTATATAAAGGCAACATACTGAGAGTGGAATTTATCAAAACTAGAGTAGACAGAATCTGGAGCAGTTGCCCAGGGCAACCAATCAGCTTCTGTCTTCAGTTTGTTCCGTTAAGATTTGAAAATGAAAGAGAGAAGCTGATTGGTTGCCATGCACAACTGCTCCAGATTCTGTCTGCTTCAGTTTTAATAAATTTCCCTCTGTATGTTTAAAATATAAAAATCACTTTTCCGCAAACAGCAAACACTTTCAAGCTGCAGATAGAAAGGGTAACAGGTAACTTTAACGAAGTTCGAGAATGAGTATATGTAGTAACTCTGCCACAATTATCACCTGCAGCTTCAGGCAACCCATCTGGAAAACCAGGGTCTAATTAGAACAACACTACAGACCCCTACCCCAAGGCAACGGGCACCCCATGTACAGTATATGCCTCTGAGATGTGGTGCTGTACCTTATCATATAATTATGCCTCCACTACATGCCAAAGGGGACTGTACACTTTGTACTGTAGACAACAGGCATTGCTCAGGAGAAATAGCAGCTGTCCAAACCACTACATTACAATTCTACTTGTCAACCATATAGATTTCAAAATGATAGAGAACCATGTAGTGAGGATCCCTTACAAGTGCATTTGTTTATTCTGCTTTGTAGAAAATATATTTCTGCAGTTGCATTATAATGTATTTGTTATGGAGGCTGTTAGAAAGCAAATTTTTAGATCTAGTAGCTAGATGTGTTTGAATCAGCTTTCTTTGTAAAACTTGATACTGTAAGCTTTCCTGTAGTAACAGATACTGTTAAGCCCAGGTCCTAAATGTAGTCCTATATTCTCTTCCAGCTGCTAAGAATGATTCTTGACAATAAAGTTTTGGTGAGATTGAACAAACCTTTTGAGTGGCAGACGCTGGAGGGACTCCTGGTCCGAGCTGTGATGGCCGTACCCCAATATGCCAACAACACACAAAGAATGGCAGCTCAGCGGCTACTGGTAATCTTAGTTATAACATTGATGAATTTCCTTCCTTGTCCATCGATAAATGGATATTAGTGACTGTTTGATATTGACTAAGGTAGCAAAGTTTTTGATTATGATCTTATGATTTTTTTTTGTTTACTTCACCTTATTATAAGTACAAAGCAATCACCCCTCAGGAATAGTGATGGGCTCGGGCGTGTTCGCAGCTCCACATGCCGAGCCCGCCAGGAAGCTGACAGCGCCGCAGCGACAACCACAGGTACTGAGACATTATCCCGGTCCACAGCTGCAGAGATCGGGATATGTCTCAGTGCCTGTGAATTTTATTAATTTATTATTGGTATTTATATAGCGCTGAAAATTTATGCAGCACTTTACACAGTGCACATTCACTTCAGTCCCTGCCATCAAGGAGCTTACAATCTAAGGTCTTTATCATACATGCATACATACGAGGGGCAATTGAGACAGGAGCCAATTAACATTCCAGCATGTCTTTTCTAAAGCATTTTCTAAAGATTTGCATTAATCCATGTCTGTTTTAACTTTAGCGCCACTTTTCCATATTTTATCTTCGGGATATTGAGGGCTCTCATCTCCAACAAGTGATCTTCTCTATACTGGAAGTAAGTGTCATTACTAATGTAGCTTCTTGGATTGAAGGAAAGGCATTAAAGTAAACTCAACCTGGCTTATTAGGAGCCCTTTAGGTAACAGAAGTACTATAGCTCAGGCACCTTTGGTGCCCAAATTACCTTTGTAAGTCTTCAGATCAATCCCTATGTCCTTGTGGAGCCTCACTGATCTTAAGCGCAGGCAACTGTCAACACCTCAACTTGTCTCCAAAACGCCCTATTCCCATGGACTAAGCCCTTTACATTCCATCATCAAATGCTGGGGCTTCAGTGGGTGGAAGAGACTGTGGCATCAAATAACAGGGTTTACTCAATGATCGCTGAATTTATTTACTGTTTTCCTGCATTCTGTGCTAACAAGGCTTGCAGTGATATAAAACACATAATTGGTGTTTTTAATGAAGGCAAACATGGGTGACAAGGATGGCCTCACCTTGCAAGAAGATCTTCAGCTATCCCTGGTCAATGCTTCATGCCATCTTCTGGAGTCTGTGAAGAAAGTGTTGGTACCATCTCCTACACCAGGCAGACAATACTACCGGTTCTCTTTACGAGAGATCACCAAAGTATTTCAGGTAACATTAAGTTAATTTGTATTTAGAATGTATTTGGTTATTTAGAATTGTCTTGTGTTTTGAGGCAACAGTCACAGTTAGGATGCAAAATGTCTGAGATGATGTCATAATCCTGTCTGATATTACTTGTGCTTAGTTCATAAATTGTCCTGCTGTGATATGTTGATACATAAGCTCATCGAACCTCTTCATGCTCTTATGCGTTAACATGTTGCCCAGATGTGCTATGTATTGTGCTAGGTGGTATTAGTACTTTACATTCTTTACTAGTGTTTGTAGCCTAAGCCTAGTATTCATTAGTGAGAATTTAAATAACAGAATGATCTAACTTGCACTAAACAGTCTAAACTATTTTTTTCATCAACGATCTGCTATTACCTATAGCGAGAAGAAGACTTTGTACAATTACTTATGAAATAAAATTATAGAATTAGAAATTAATAATAATATATTTTCACACATTTTATTGTGTTGTAGTCTCTTCGAAGACTGTCCAGTGAAGATCGTGAAGACCGTAGTACTGTTGCAGCATATTGGCAGCATGAAGTTCACCGTGTTATACGAGACAGGCTGTGTCGACATGCCGACATCAACTGGTTTGACTCAGAAATGACCCAAAAAATTAAAGAGGTATGCTGTTTTAAGGATCATAAGCACATTGTCACACTACACTTTCTGTATTAGGGGCTGAGTAAACGAGTAAACTTTCTGAATTTTTTACTTATAACTTTATATTCCTGAACTTTTTAAGTAAGGAGTAGTTAGATCAAGCAACTGGACAAGGAAGAAAACCCTGACAGTAATGCCCGCTACATGAGCTGTAAAACTACAGTTGATGGATACGGAAAAAGTTGTTTTTTTCCATTTGCGCAATTTACAGAAGCTTCAACGCAGTGGTCACAGACATTCCCCTGCTGTCCTTATTTCATCCTGCTCCAATCTTGTGTATTTATTTATGGTTCCTTTTTTGGTCAGTATTTTCCAGATATTTCAATGCCTTCGGACCAAAGAACATTTACAACATTTCCTCTAGAAATGAAGTTTTCTCACCATACTAGCACAGATAATAAAGGTGTCAAGGTAATACATGCACAAAAATGTATTATCACTGTCATATTCATGTTTCTATACTTTTAACAGATGCTTTACAACCTTTGTTTGCTTCCAGGTTTTGCTTCAGTCTCTTGCCAAACTAGATGATGTGCAAAGTTTCTTGAAGACCACTTTACAACATTACAATGAGGAACTTGGGCACCAAAAGCTGCACCTTGAATTATCAGAGAATTCTGTATTGCAGATAATCCGTATACACAGAGTACTCTCTTCTGAGAAGGGGTGAGCTGTATTGTACTAGACTGGAGCATGGTATCCCACACATATTCATTCCTACAAGAGTATTGTTAAAGAGTGAAGGTTTAAGAGTGGAGTTGTTGACGACAAGTGTACTTTTTTGAGTGGTGGTTTTGTGGAGGTGTCTGTTGCTAATTTATCCCAGTAGTCACCCAGTTAGTTATATCCATCTGGACCTCCTCTGTAATGTTAAAGACATTTCACTACCAAGCAAATCATCCATGAAGCTTCCTCAGTTTTAATAATCATCAGGAACAAACCCAGGAGTTACCCGTGTGGCTATAAATGTTGAGGTTTGTTCATGATAATCATTAGCACTGAGAAAGCAAATTGAATGCGTCAATCATGAAGCATTACATTGCAAGTTCAGTTGAATGTGACTAACTACTACCGTATATACTCGAGTATAAGCCGAGTTTTTCAGCCCATTTTTTGTGCGGGAAAGTGCCCCCCTCGGCTTATACTCGAGTCAGCGTCTCGAGCTGGTCAATAGGAATAATATTCAGATTATTTGGTAATTAAATTTGCAGCAATAATAATACAAACATACACACAACACATATTGTAGCTGCTACAAATTAGAAATATTGAATCCGTGATGATGATGGCTAGGACTAGTTTAACAATGAAGATGCAACTTCTCTTACTATAGAAATGCAAGATGCCATGTTTAGAATATCCATACATTTCCTGTTCGGGATGCCTACAGTTGGGTAATTACGTTTTTGAGCATTCAAAATGTGCCTCACTAATTATTCTATTTCATATTTTTGTAATCAATTGGGTAGTTAATGGAGGACTGCTTACCACGTTTCTTGACATCTGTTTTGCAGTATCAAATTTCAAGATTTGCCATTAATGGTAGCTGTTAACATTTCTGGATTTACTGATCATAGAAAAGAAGCATTCTTGTCTTACCTGATAATGGATGCTACCGGTCCGAAACTGTTGTATGGACTGTACATGTTTGAACTTTGAATAAAGATTCACATGGTGCTGCATATATCTGGCAAACACTAATTTACTAGTACATTAAACCCAGTAATGGCTTGTTTGAATGTTATTCCTTCTGCTAATATATGTTTCTAATTGCAGTGGCAATGCATTGTTGGTGGGATGTATTGGGTCTCACCTATCAACTTTAGTGAAGCTAGCCCTTTATGTTGCTGACATACCTCTACATGTAGTGGATACATCTGGGCACAACAACTTTGTCAGTAGTCTGAAATCCGCCATCCAGATTTCTGCAGTTGAAGGAAAACCAACAGCTATTCTGTTAACTGTAAGTTTACCATGCCCTGGAGCTTAATGGTGAAGTAGCTCACAAGAAAAAAAACTCCTCTCTAACTGTTATAAACTGATAAAAAATGTAATCTGCAATGATTATTTGGGGTAACTATACGTTGAACAACACCACTGCAATGTTTACTTGTTCTTTACAGAGCAATTCTAGTTCAAGTGAAGCTGGCCATTGGGCTGCTATTTCTATCCAGTACACTGCAGATGTGCTAATCAGAATTTTTTATCAATATAACTTTATTTGAGTTGTCAGTAATCCACGGCATGCACAGTGCACACAGACAAACTCAAACAGGTCTATTCACTAAAGGGTGTAGAGTTTGGAGATGGCAGGAGAAGTGAACAATCTAGGACAACATAGTTGATCTGGAAAAGTTCACCAATTCGGCTCACTTTCCAGTTCAGCTATGTTGTCCTAGATTGTTCACTTCTCCTGCCTTCTCCAAACTCTTCACCCTTTAGTGAATAGACCTGACAGGATCAATAGTAAGGCAGTTGTAGCATAATTCCTGAAGCCTGTACTATATCATTTTCTATCATGAGTTCATACAAGGCAGCTAGTCTGTAGTGGGATGTGTCAGCCTCTAACACAGGAACATCACCATATTACCAACAAAGAGGTAATGTGTACTGATACATTGCAATAGAGTCTGCATAAACATCTGAATTACTAAGCAGGTATGTTGTGCATCATCTTCTCATCCTAAAGCACAGTTGTGGTTGGAGTGTTAGTTTAAATGATAAATCAAGAATTTGAAATATGAAAGAGTTTCCATTTATTGCATGTATTCAGTTTTATCTTTTCTATCACACTTCTATCAAAATTATTTGATCATCACATGTTCTGTCTAATCCACTAAACAGTTAGTCAGATCCTTTTACATTCCATGTGTTTCATCCTGGAAAGTACTGTCTTTTAATTCATTGGAAAACATATTTGATGATGTCAGGCAAGTGGCAATTTGCAATTTGCCCTGATTACTTAATTGTCATGCTTTTTGAAGTTACTTTGAGCAGAACAATTGACTGATTTGTGTCTAGAAATTAATGTGTTCTGTTGCCATAGTAATTATCAGTGCATGCTGTGTGCATTCATGGTTCTGATTACGGCGTAGGTAAAAGGCCAACTAGGTTGTCTGCTGTTATCTTATTAGTCACACATAGTGATCTTGTTAAGTTCTGTGGATACAATACGTCATTGTTTAATGATTTCTCTGAGCGGTTCTCTTTTTTTAAATATTTGAACAACTAAGTGACTCATTATAGGCTAGATCCTACTGAGAACATTTTAATGTTCCTGTCAAGCTGCCCATACAGAAAGGAATTTACAGTATTTAAGTGGTAGCCAATAATCAGACCCTTGAAGTTGCATATTTTCTTATGTTACCTGTACCTTGAGCAAGAGACACAGAGTATTCTTGATATGTTGGCAATTTTTAGTACAACAGTGCGAAGCATCATTACTGGCGATTCCTCAGGTTTCATTAGGGCAACACAAACTGTCTTTGTCCTTGCGCCAATAACAACCATGTAGCAGTTGGATGTGCTCAGTGGCGTAACTACCACCATAGCAACCCATGCGGGCCCGGGGGCAGAGGGAGGCCCAGTCAGGAGGCTGGGGCTCAGCAGCTGAGGTTGAGGAGGCCGGGGCCCCAGTAGCGGTGGTGGTGGAGGAGGCCAGGGCCCTGTGGCAGCGGTGAACGAGGAGGACGCCGGGGACCCACGGCGGTGGTGGCTTTGGTGGAGGAGGAGGTGGGGGCCCGGTGGTGGAAACAGAGGTGGCCGAGGAGACCAGGATCTGGTGGCGACAGTGGAGGAGGAGGAGGTCGGGGCAGGCAGTGGAGGAGGTCAGGGCTCAGCAGTGGGCAGTTTGGGGTTGACAGGTAAGAGGTGTGCAGGGAAAGGGACCCTGACCAGCCCACCTGAGATCCTGCAGAGCCCACCATAGCAGAGCTGAAGAGAAGGAGACGGCGCAGGCATGGGAACGTGTTCTGGAGGTAAGTCCCTCTTTTCTTCTTCTTCTTGGTGCGGGGGCAGTTTGGGGGGCCCCAGGCACCATACAAAATTTTGCCATGGGGCCCTGGGATTTCTAGTTGAATGTGCTGTTAAACGTCTACATTTATTTGATGATCAGACCTAAAGTATACATTGATGATGCAGCCCCAGATATTCATATGCCTCCAGTAAATGGCCTACCATGAATGACCGCCTCACCTTTTTTTATTGTACTATTACCAGAGATCCAGAGATCTTAGTTTAAATAACATCTACAGTACAATTAAACTTTCCTGATATATTAATCAAGCTGCATAAACAGTAATAAATATGGGTTGTTTTTTTTACCAGTCAAGTGCTACAGTAAGGATGAAAAAACCCTGAGCTGTCAGCACATAGGAATGTTGGACTGAGGCTCTCATTCACCTAGTTCTCCTGCAGTCTAACATGCCCAACTCGGCTTGCTGTAATCAAAATATCTCACTCCTTGAGAGGGGCTGTTCATTAGGCAGTTTTTTTGGGGCGAGCTCCTAGGTGCTTCCACCACAGAGATTTTAATCCTTGCTGCAGCACTAAGATGATAAAAAAGGAGAAAAATAGGCATTTTATTAACTTGTATATATAGCCCGGCTGCCAGAGACTGTGTCGCTTTGCTTGGGTAAGGTGGACATATGATTTCATAATACTTGACTTGTGGAACCAATTAGTAAAGCTATTCTTAACTACTAAATTCCTGTTAATGCACTAAAAAGGGGTAAAGAGTTGGATTTTAAAGTAGAACTCCAGGCAGACATAGTCAATGTTAGGTAAAGCATGTGATTTACAAACCTTGGCCATATTGCATCACCACATCACTTCTTAGCTTACTGTGCTACCCTCATGCTCAATGGATAAATAAATCAGCATCATAACACTGTTGACTTATTTGTCAGTGAGCACAAAAGTATCATAGGATGCTGAAGAGCCGGAATAGGAACTAGTGGTGTCACTAGTGGTGGCTAGGCATTGTGTCAGGGATGTGTGTATCACAATTTTGACATAGATTCCAACTGTCCCTCATTTGGAACAAAATCTTTGGTCCCTTCTTCCATACATGTTGTCCTTTTTGATGTAAAAGTCTCTATAAAAAAGCACTATCTAACTACCAAATGTTTTATACTAAACCAAACCTTTCATCCAAGCTCTAAATGATTGTAATTGCTATTTTCAAAAGCCACAATATAGGAAATGTTATAGAGAAAATAAAACGTGTGCCTTCATCCAGTCTGTATTTTGTGCATTTATTCTTTGTGGTCCACGTAACTAGTGGCATGTCAGGAGTGTGTCCTTTGCCTACATGCTCTGTGTTAAAAGGTGCCCCTCTTTCTCATCCCAGAAAGATGGAAGGTATGGACTGGTTGCATTTTTAACCTGCACACATATTAGCGGTAATGCACTGCACTTAACAATAAGGACCCTTTATTGAATACGGTTGTAAATGTCTTCACATGCACCAAAATTTTCATTGTCAAGTGTTAACATTGTCCATTCCTCAGATTTTATAAAAGACCAAGAACCTAAAGTAACCTTTTACAGACATGTACATTTAACCATTTGTCTATTACGTATGGTCTAAAAATATAAGTACATTTATGAAAGGCCAGTACATTATTGGCTACTTCAAGCTACTATCTAAGATTCTAAGCCAATATAGAGTTGTTCCAACAGTAAAGTGCAGCTGCAATATTTAACTTGTGCAGAAGAGGGCAATACAAGTATGTGTTTTCATACAGTCATATATTAGGCAAATAACGTGAAAAGAGATGAGGTAATCTTATACTTTACTTTAGAATATCAAAATGTTTCCTGCTACAGTGGCTCTGTTAATACAAACACCAAAGAAATCTATAAAGATCCACTAGGATTTCTTTTTGTTGTAGCGTGTAGTAGATTACATCACATGATAAACATATGTACAAAAAGTAATATAAATATTAATATTGTTCTCATAGTAATTCAGTGCTGTCTTAAATACCTGACAGGCGGATGAGCTTGAGTCTGACTATTGTCTAGATGTCATTAACAGCCTGTTGGTCTGTGGAGAGTACGATTCCTTATTCACCACTGAAGAAATGAATGATCTCCTGCAGGTAGGTGCTTGAGAAGTTGCTACTTGTTGATCTATCTTTACACCACTGATTCTTAACTGTACAGTACAGTACAGTATGTAGTTATTATGGGGAGACTTTATCAAAATTGGAGCAGACAGAATCTGGAGCAGTTGCCCGTAGCAACCAATCAGCTTCTATCTTTAGTTTGTTCAGCTAAGCTTTGAAAATGAAAGAGAGAAGCTGATTGGTTGCTACAGGCAACTGCTCCAGATTGTTCAATAAATTCCTCTCTATGTGTATACAAGGGTAAGAATCAGTTTGAAGACAAGTCTACTTGCTACCTCTTCTGGTTCCACACTGAGAACTATACGTTTAGGGTTGAATCAATTTTTATTAGAAGTTTCAGGAGATTCATACAATCCGGTATAAAAGCAGCATATAACAATTAAGGCAATGCAATACACAGGGGAGTATCTTTCTCTGCAACGGGCCCGGCTGAACAGAGTTATAACAGTAACATAGTAGCTCACATGAAATCAAAGCAAAACGTGTGTGTCCAAGATCCAGGTGAGGCGCCACTAGAAACCTATTGCTGAGCAAGAGTCGATATTGTTGGACCAGATACATGAAAATGCTATTGAACTAATCGGCTTCTGCTAAGTAGGGGAGCAAAGAGAGCCAGGTCCGCCGTTTCAGTACTAGAAATCTCCTGTGAACCAATTGCATGAATCACTAGGAATCTTACAAGTAACTACTAGAGGACAGAGTTAGGTAGAAGATCAGGAAAAGAATGAGTAGAGTAAGAGGGGAAGGTCAAGAAAGGGGTGGATGCGAAGGGCTGGGCGCAGATCCCCATCTAAGAGGCCAATGAACAAAAACAAGTTCTGCAAGGCGTCTAAGGTGGAGTAGCGCAGAGGAAGGGCTGGAGATCGGTGGAGGAGGAGAAATGGATCCACACACTCCACTGTGTCATAAATTTGGAGAAGGTAGAGAACTATACGTTTAGGCATGAGAACTAAAACCTGCATTCATTCCTTCTCTAAATAGCAGTTCACTTCACTATTCTGTAATGATGCCTTTTTTCCTGCCATGCTGGCCTTTAGTTCACAGATTATCATGGCATGGAGCTACAGTACCAGAGTAGAGTATTTCCCTACCCTGGGACACCCCTCACACCTTCCCCCCACAACCCTAACACTCACCCTCCCTGAAACCCTAACCCTCCCTCAAGTAAACGTAGCCCATTATTTGTATAGCCACCTCTTCTGCGTCAGAATTGCATTTCCAAACTTCCCTGCGTCAGAAGATACTGGTCCCTGTGCCCTGGCACTGGCAACTACTGCCTTCATTTTTGATAACTACTAAGAAGCATATTAATAAACATCTACACAAAGACAAAAAAGCAATCCAGCAATACCCAATGCCTGTACTGTTTATATCATTGTTAGTACGCATTTTTTATTTAATAAATTGCATTTTATTGGACGTTACGCACTATGTCCTTGTCCTTTTTCTCTTTCCATCTGGATTTATACTGGTACCTGTGATCTGAGGAGACCTTATTGCTTTTTCTGTGCATGGGCTTCCCTTCCCCATTAAGAAGGGAAAAAGCGCATTTGACCTAGCTCTGTGGGTCTACCTCCCCAGATGAGCACTCACTTGTTGTCATCACTCACTGGGTGGAGGTGAAGGTCTGCCTGCATTGTGTGATTATCCGTACCTGAGAGTTATATGCAGATTGGCTGCAAATCATCTGAAGGATTTTTTCTGCACAATCACCATTGTTTGCTTTTGTTTTTTCCTTGAGACTTTTTATTGTCTATATTGCTTTTTTTGTCTTTGTGTAGATATTTCCTATGCCTCATTTGTTTGAAGGCTCATATATGTGACTCACTTATATATGTTTCGATTTATTAGATATGTATGATTATTAGCTCGGCACAATATTGTTTTTCACATTTTTCAGATATTTAGTTATATCCATAGTGCTTGGTAGCTCTTATTTCCACATTACACTTACTGGTGCTGATCACCTTTATTGTTTATATTAATAAACACGCTATTGCCCAATAATGACACAGATGCTATTTAAGTTCAATATGGCAAAGACGCATTTTAACTTATGGCCAACCACTACTGCAAACAGAAGCCAAACAATGCCCTAAAAGCCTGTCCTTACCATGGGTGCTGGGCAGACATTTCTCTACCCCAAAAAATCACTTGAGGGCATCAACTGAGACAACAAAACAATAGCTGGCAGAGTAACAGATTAATAAATCTGTCACAGTAACTAACCATAAAAAGGAGGACTCGTCAGATGGCTGGAGTCTTCAAGGTCTTTGCCAGTACCAACCATCACTACCCTAAGTAGTAGTAGCCCAAGCCCAACCTCTCACATCACAGTCCCATCAGGCCTCAATCATAAAATACATATAAATGTAAAGATGCTGCACCTATTTAAAATTGCATGTTGCCAGAACCAGGGCTGAAGGGGCCATCATTCCAAATGTAAAAACGATTAAAACTATAGAAAACAAATGACTTCTCTCCAAGTAGTGCATAGATAATTGTTTTCGGTGATGGTCGTGTTTGTGTGTGCTGATGTGTTTGGTGGC